GACATCCACTCAGAGACCTAATTTGGAAGTTGGTAATTACAAAGACCACAGGTGGATAAATTTACAATGATGGGAAGAAACCAGCATAAAAAGGCTGAGAATACTCAAAATCAGAACGCCTCTCCCTCTAAAGAGGATCACAGTTCCTCATCAACAAGGGAACAAGACTTGATGGAGAACGGGTGCATTCCATTAACAGAATCAGGCTTCAGAAGATGAATAATAAGAAACTTCTGTGAGTTAAAAGACCATGTTGTAGCCCAATGTAAAGAAACTAAGAACTTTGAAAAAAGGTTTGACGAAATCCTAATGAGAATAGACAACTTAGAGAGGAATATAAGTGAATTAATGGAACTGAAGAATACAATATGGGAACTCCTAAAAGTATGCACAGGTTTAAACACTCGAATTGTTCAAGCAGAAGAAAGGATATCAGAGGTCAAAGACCAACTTAATGAAATAAAACGAGAAGACAAGATTAGAGAAAAAAGGATAAAAAGGAATGAGCAAAGTCTCCAAGAAATGTGGGACTATGTGAAAAGACCTAATTTACATTTGATAGGTGTACCTGAATGCGATGGAGAGAATGAATCCAAGCTGGAAAATATTCTTCAGGATATTATTCAGGAAAATTTTCCTAAACTAGCAAAGCAGTACAATATTCAACCCCAGGTAATACAGACAACACCACAAATATACTCCTCAAGAAGAGCAACTCCAAGGCACATAATCGTTAGATTCACCAGGGTTGAAACGAAGGAGAAAATACTAAGGGTAGCCAGAGAGAAAGGTCAGGTTACCCACAAAGGGAAGCCTATCAGACTTACAGCAGATCTCTCAGCAGAAACTCTAAAGCCAGAAGAGAGTGGGGCCAATATTCAACATCCGTAAAGAACAGAACTTTCAGCCCAGAATTTCATATCCAGCCAAACTAAGCTTCACAACTGAAGGAAAAATAAAATCTTTTATGAACAAGCAAGTACTCAGATTTTATTACCACCAGGCCTGCTTTACAAGAGCTTCTGAAAGAAGCATTACACACAGAAAGAAACAATCAGTATTAGCCTTTCTAAAAATATACCAAAAAGTAAAGAGCATCAACATAAAGAAGAATTTACATCAACGAATGGATAAAACAGCCAGTTAACATCAAATGGCAGTAATCCTAAATTTAAATCGACTAAATCCCCCAGTCAAAAGATACAGCCAAAACCCAACGGCATGTTACATCCAGACCCATTTCACATGCAAGGATACACAAAGACTCAAAACAAAGGGATGGAGAAAGATTTACCAACCAAATGGAGAGCAAAAATAAATAAATAAATAAATAAAAAGCAGGAGTTGCAATTCTCGAATCTGATAAAATAGATTTTAAAGCAACAAAGATATAGTGGTAAAAGGATCAATGCAACAACAAGAGCTAAAGATCCTGACACCCAGATACATAGAGACTTAGACTCAATGAGACAGAAAATTAATAAGGATATCAAGGACTCAGATCCGGAAAAAGTAAACTTAATAAATATTTATAGAGCTCTCCACTTTAAATACACAAAATATACATTCTTGTCAATACCACATCACACCTCCTCATAGGTTTAAATGAAACATTGATTGGCCATTATTAATACCCATTTTTAGAATAAAGCAACATTTCCATTCTCTCTCCCTCTTTTTCTTCCTCTTGCTTCCTCTCCTTCACTCCTTTTTTTTCTTTCCTTCTCTCAAAAAAAGAAATCAACTTGTAGACCTCTAGATCCAGGTCGGCAATGTCTCTCTCATTGCCTGATTTCCTTCCTTCCCTTCTCTCCCTCCCTCCCTCCCTTCCTCTTTTCCTCCCTTCCTGCCTTCCTCCCTTCCTCCCTTCCAAAAAAAAAAAAAAAAGATCATCTGTTTTCTTCTTTCACAGGTCTGTAACAATTCACTCAGTACTATTGGCCAGTCACAAATCCAGCAGTGAAACTGCATTCCCAGAATAACTCTAAAGGGTTGATAAATTTATATAGTTATTCCACTCCACTAGTAATCCCATGCAAATGAAAATGAGAGACCATTTCATCTATCACATTTGTAAATCTTTTTTTAAAGATAAAATAAATGCCAGTGGGGGTAAGTGCCATGGGCCCCCTTGAGCGCTTCTGGTGAGAATGCAAACTGGACTGACATTTCTGGAAGGGAATCTGACCATGGCGATTCACAGACTAAAGAGCTTTCAAAGCCTTTGAATCAATGATTTCACAGATAGGTTTCTAGCCTAAGGAAGGAAATAATTTTAAAATGTGGGCAAAAATTTATGGATAAGGATATTCATGGCAATGTTCTCATTAGCAGTAAAAAATCGGAACTCCTCTAAATGTCCAAAAACAGTGGAATAATAAAATAGATTAAACTATATGATTAATCATTATGTACCCATTACAAATAATATTTGTGAACAATTTTAGTGATGGTGGATAGTGCTCAAGATATAGCAGTGAAAAAAAGAGAATGCACGATTAACTATATATCCTGTAAATATATAGAATACATAACTAAACATTCTATGCAGTTCTATTATGTCAAAAATGTAAATATGCAAAAAAAAAGATCCAAACAGAAATAAGCCAAAATAATGAGTGCCTTTTTCTGAATGTGGGTAATTTCTGCTTTATTTTTAAATATTTCGTGAATTTTCCACATTTTCTAGAATAAGCACACATTTTTTTGTTGTTGTTATGGCAAGTAGGCCTGGAAAGGATAGCATTTGACATTATTTCCCGGTGTGAACAGAGGTATATAAAAGAGCTGTTACTTTGGAGAGGTCTCAGAGGCAGTCTGGACCAACCTAAAATATTCTTTATTATGAGTTGAAATCTGCTTCTCTGCCATGTCCATACACAGGTCCTAGGCTTGCTTTCTTTCTACAGCTATCTAGAATAAGGGTATGAGTATTGCAGAGATATTTCAAAAGGGTCCGTTTTTGAAAGTAATGGCAAAAACCGCAATTACTTTTGTACCACCCTGATAGCTACCTTTCTGCTGCTTTCGCTGTGGCCCTGCTCTCCCCGACTTCTGCCAATTTCTTTTTTTTCTGGATACTTTCAACAGTTCTGTGTCACAGGCCTTCTGCTCTCACCAGCTTGCTTACCCGCCTTTAGACAGTCTCCAGTTTAATAGTTTTTCTAGAAAAATGTGATATTCAGAACCAAAGGCAGGTTTCCAGCCTTCTAAAGCACATCTATCATGTTGCCACACCTCTGCTCAAGTTCCTAGGGAGGCTCGTAGAGAAGAGCAGAATGTCCCAGCTTAGCGTGCAATGTCCTTCTGGATCTGCTCCCAGCCTTTCCACCCTCATGGCCCACCATAGCTCTGATACACACTACACCAGTGTCTTCGAACTACGGGCTGCTCTGCATCACTGAGTACTGAAATGAATTCAGTAACCAGCACTTAAAAAAAGAGAATTGAATAGAATGGACAATACCAAGTTGCATTGTACATTCTAAAGGCAATTACTGTCTCAGCAGTTATCTCTATCTATTATCTATCTATCCACCTATCTAAAACACAAACTCATACATATATACAAGACTGTGTATATATTTATACTAGGCCATGGCCGAAATGTATCTCTTTTTGAGACAGAGTCTCGCTCTGTTGCCCAGGCTGGAGTACAATGGCGCTATCTTGGTTCACTACAACCTCCTCCTCCAGGGTTCAAATGATTCTCCTGCCTCAGCCTCCTGAGTAGCTGGGACTATAGGCTCATGCCACCATGCTAAGTTTTGTATTTTTAACAGAGATAGGGTTTTGCCATGTTGGCCAGGCTGGTCTCAAACTCCTGACCTCAGGTGATCCACCTGCTTTGGCCTCCCAAAGTGCTGCAATTATAGGCGTGAGCCAGCATGCCTGGTGAATGATTGGAAGGCTGGAAGCCACTGCCCACACCATGGCTACATCAGGTCAGTAACTAGCTTCCAAACTTGCCTTGCGCTTCCTTTGATGCCACTGTCCCCTCAGCTGCGCTTTCTCCCTGTCCTCTGCCACTGAAATCCTTCAAGGTCCTAACAAGGTACCACATCCCTTCTGGAGTGTTTCACACTTTCCCCTTGTGATCCAAAAATGGTGGTTTGATGTCTTTATATTACTCGAAACAGCCTACCTTGTATTTTGTTATGTCTGTACACTGAATTCTTAGACAATGAGTACCTGAAAGGCAGGGTGGTATCTTACCCATCTTTGGATCCTCCGAAGGCCAGAGGTCCAGTGAACCTGGTTGATGCTAAATAAATGTCTGTCCAGCTGAACATTTTCTGTATCTCCTTCCAAGAATATCTTCTGGTGTTCCTCCTCCTATTTTCTTGACCATAGCCCCCAGCAAGCATAAGATCTGTGTCCCAGGGTAATGTGACCTACAGTGATGACTCTAGAAACCGGTCTGTTCTGCAAGCTTTCACCTTTCTTCAGCAGCAACAAGACAAGAAAGCATTCGTTTTTATTCATTTTTAAGATGTCTTTATTTGAGACGATGTTTCTCCTATGTTTTTGGTGTTAAGATGTATTTTGGGGAGCAAAACTGACGATATATAATAGTTGGTTTTTTAGTATGTGTGCCTATTGTCCTTATTTGACAAAATAAATTGGCAATTCTGTGTTCATCTTTTTTTTTTTTTTTTTTTTTAAGTTAAAAAAAGTTACTGGCTGCAAACTCCAAAAGGCGGAGAATCAAATCCCTTTCTGGGCTATCTGTAAGTAAGTTTCCTTTCTTAAAGAAGGAGCTTTCTTCTCTCACCTCAAGGACTGCTGTTTATTCGTCTGCGCTACTTTTTGGACGTTTCCATTCTCTTGGTCCTCAAGATGTGAATCACCCATTTTTTCCGTGGGGGAAGACAGTGTATCTCTGGCCCTTTAAGTAGGGGCGTGGTGAAGAGGCGCGAACCGCCCCAGAGGAGGAGCGGTGCGAGGAGGAAAGCGGAAGCGCGGCCGGTAGTGGTAGATAGTGCGCGTGCGTGAGGCGAGAGTGAAGGCGGGGGGCGCGATCACGTGGGCCGGCGGTCCTGGGCCGGAATGGCTGCAAGCTCAGGTAACGAATTTCCAGAGAGCTGGCCCGTGGGGAGGAGACAGGATTGAGGGGCCGTATACAGGATAGGAGGAGAGCGCGCGACAGGTCTCTGAGCCTCGGTGCCTTCCCCTGCGCGACAGCGGCGCGACCCCGGGCAGCGGACAGAGCAGCGTCTGCCGGCCCACGGGCCGGGCGGGGTTGATTCTCGAGTGGAGGGGCGTGTCCTACGTTGGGCCGGAGCTGGGTCGGGCAATTTCCACTTATTGGTTCCAAATGAATGTGAAAATTCAAATGGGCTTAAGTAAAAAGGGATTTATTGGCTCCAAGCCTGGAAGGGGCTGAGGTCTTACTGAATCCAGTGACTGCAGTAATGTACTTGTTATCTCTCCCTTTCTGCAGAGGACCCGTAACCCCTCAGTTCCTTATCTCCTTTGCGACTGTAATTGCAAGCCTCATTCTGTCCTGTTACAGTCATGCGACAATTAGGTTGAGGGACTGGCACGGCCGCGCCCCCGACTGTGAGCCTAGGCCGCGGGTGTCATGCCCCTCCCCACTCCCTGGCGGGACAGGTGTAGCCTGCCTGTCGGGCCTGGGGAACGGGTGTGGACCCCTTCGTCCTCCAGGGACCGATGTCAGGGTGCCTGAGTCTGAGTCTGAGGCTGAGATGGGACGTCTGTCTCTTGGAATTGGTGCACGCCCTGTGAGTCTGGTTCCAGTTTGTCTCCACGTGCAAGGTGTGCCCCAGAGTGAGGGCAGCAGGGTGAAAGGTGGGCCTCCAAAGTTCGAGGCTACTCCTGTGCCTTGGCTAGTTCTCCGTGCGTGGCATCTGAGGAAGGAAGGCAACAGCTGCTCAGTGTTCCGGTGTACAAAATGGGTGTGCTTCGTAGGAGGATAGGGTGGGGGGAGGTGGGATCCGTGAGAGGTTCCATGGTCGTGGGTTATCAGGAATAGCTAGCTGGGGAGACTTCTTTAAATAAGCAGGCCCCCCCCCCACTTCTTAGATTATTGTTAGAATGAATAGGAAGGCCTCTGTCTGCTGCACCATCCACCCTCTACTTTCCCCTACCAAAAAACCTAAAAACCTGTCCCTGCACGGTGGCTCACGCCTGTAATCCCAGCACTTTAGGAGGTCGAGGCAGGTGGATCACGAGGTCAGAAGATCGAGACCGTCCTGGCTAACACGGTGAAACCCCGTCTGTATTAAAAATACAAAAAATTAGCCGGGTGTGGTGGCATGCACCTGTAGTCCCAGTTATGCAGGAGGCTGAGGCAGGAGAATCGCTTGAACCTGGGAGGCGGAGGTTGCAGTGAGCTGAGATTGTGCCACTGCACTCTGGCCTGGGCAACGGAGCAAGACTCCGTCTCAAAAAAACAAAAAACAAACCCCAGACCCAAGCAAAACAATCATGGATGTTAGCTTGTGGCGCTAAACCTTGTTCCAGATGTCCGCCGTTGGGAGATAATTACATGTTAATTGTATATCTATGTGTGTGTTTGAGGTATATCTAATGTAAATGTGGTTGGATAGTCTGCATATGTTTGTATAAGGCATGGCTTTTGCTCATGGTTAAATTTAAGCACAGAGTAGATATTGAATCCTCTGGTGATAGCTGGCCTGTTCCGTAGTATATGCAATAAAGATAAATGGAAAAAAACATCATTGCCCTCTTGGGCTTTGGGTCAAAAAGGCATATGTGAGAACATTCTTTACAGAGCTCTAACAGAGTAATATGCTGATTTTTCTTTATATTTGATGTATTTCCTTTGTATCTGGACTGTTGTTGGCAGATGTTGTTCCAGAATATGGGAACATGTTGGTGATTCTTAGCTGTATCTCACTATTCCATTGACATTTCAACCAGTGGGACACAAAATGTCAGTTATGTATGTGAATGAGAAGGAAGATCTTTTGAACTTAATAAAGTATGTTTAACTTTGGATCTGTTGGTGGCTTTCATAGAGTTTAAATGATATGTTCTCTTGATCCACAGCTTCAGGTGTCATCTGTACAATTGGTACATGTATTCTTAACTGAATCTTGAATGAATACATTAGCCTAGGCCTACACAGAGTCAGGAAGATCCCAGTAGAACGTCCTCAGAGGCAGTAACAGTTACGGAACTGTCATCTCTTATGATAACAGTGCCTTCTGGAATACCTCCTGAAGGACCTGCCTGAAGCTGTTTTATAGCTGACTTTTTTATTTTTTAATAAGTAGATGAATAGACTCTAATGATCAAAAGTATAGGACAGTAAATACATAAACCAGTAGAGAGTTTACTATCAAGTGCTACGTACTGTGCGTAATTGTATGTGCGTAGCTTTTATCCTACGGGCAGTGCGGGAGGTTTGTTTACTCCAGCATCACCACAGACGCAGGACTGATGCATTGCATTGCAACAGCTCTGACATCACTGGGCTGTAGGAATTTTTCAGCTTTATTATGTGTAATTTTACGGGATCATGGTTGTATATGCGGTCTGTCATTGACCCAAAACATCTTTTTGGAGCATGTGACTGTATATAAATGCATAGAAGGTGTGACTGCAGATGACTCCTGTGTTACGTCTTCCAAGATTAAGCACCCCAGAATAAAGAACAAACCCCTACCTCTACTATTCACAGTTCCAGAAGGACCTTGATTGCCCGTTGGACATAGAATGTGATGTGCCTACTCTTCCCCGCTCCCCTGGCTAAGCAGATAGGGTGCTTGATTGGCAGCACCACCAAAATCACGTGGTTGGAAAGGAGGGGAAGCAGTTGCCCTCCAGGAAAAACGGTAAAGGTGCTGGAGTATTTTAGCCTTTGTTTTTTCTGTTGCTGTTCAGCAAGATGCTTCAAGTTACTTTTTGCTCTTAAAAAAAAAAAAAAGGATGTGACTCTACATCCTTCTTGACACCTAACCAAGAGAAATTGAGATGATAGTTAATTGCAGATTTATAAAGAAGGCCGCCATCTGCTCAGCCTATACCGAAGTGGAATCCTTTTTTTTTTGCGCATTTAACTTATAAGAATTTACCTGCATCAGTTATGTGAAGAAAAGGGAATATATTTCAGCCTACACAAGGCCTTGTGCTTTTTAGGAGGAGTTCTTGGGGGTTGAAGTGGGTCTGGGAAGAGAGATTCTCATAATAGTGGAGACAATATTATAGAATCTGGAAGTGATCATTTTTCTCCGTTATTCATTTTACTTAATTACCTCCTACATGTATTGATATAAAACTGATCAATAGGCGGGGCACGGTGGCTCACGCCTGTAATCCCAGCAGTTTGGGAGGCTGAGGTGGGCAGATCACAAGGTCAAGAGATTGAGACCATCCTGGCCAACATGGTAAAACCCTGTCTCTACTAGAAATACAAAAAAATTAGCTGGGCCTGGTGGTGTGCACCTGTAGTCCCTATTCAGGAGGCTGAGGCAGGAGAATCACTTGAAGTCAGATGGCGGAGGTTGCAGTGAGCGGGAATTGTGCTGTTGCACTCCAGCCTGGTGACAGAGTGAGACTCCAACTAAAAAAAAAAAAAAAAAAGAGAAAAAACTGATCAATAAAGTTAGAATTTCTATGTTATCTAGATATTTGTAGACTTCGTTCTGCAAATATTGTTTTGTATATTGTGATGGGCATTAGAGTTTTCTCTTCTAGGCTGGGAGCTCGTTGAGGATTGTGTCTGACAATTCATGGCGGTAACTTAGCACTGTAGACAGGAAGGTCTTGGGCACTGTTCCTTCCCCCACTCTTCTTTTTAACATTTATTATTCTGTATGTACTTATGGTCACTCTTCTCATTTAGATGTTTACCAACAGGACAGAAAGAGAAACAGAGGTTTGGGCTTTTTCATTGTGGCAGTTCGGTACTGTGAGCTACAGTTACCTAAATGTGCCTTCTTGGAAAGAAACTCCAGGGTCAAGTAAAGCAGCCCAACCCAGTATATAGTAGCATTGCTCTGAGTAGGGTCTGCATCTAAAGGCCGTGAGTAAGGTGAAAATTGAGTACCCTCAAACTACCCCGAGAGGGAGTCATATCAGAGACGAACAGCGGCCTCTCAGGAAGTCCAGTAGAGCCAGGTATTGTTTTTCCATGTTGGAACTGCATGGTGCTTGTGATGTTGAGTGCAGGTGAAGTGAATTGCTCATGTGTGAGGCGGGTGAGAACCGAGACAGCACAGCCGCTGACTGTCTCATGTGCTCACGGTGAAGCAAGTAGTTACCGAGTTGGAGATATGCAGTCTCTTGCCCTACGTGAATCATTTCTTTCTCTCTCTGTCCCATTGCTGAAGATAATAGAGGAATTCCTGTAAATTGAATGGAAGTATGGTACATTTCCACTGTATTCATCTTGGCCTCTAGGCTGAATTAACGCAAAAGAACATAAAACATCTGAGATTGTGGGGTTTGCATCATGTTATAAATGAACTAAATGATGTAAAAATATCTCTCCTAGATGCAAAGAATGGAACTTGCACAGATGGAGGATCTTGGACTAGCGTAACTAAACATACTTTATAGTAAATGACCGGAACTGCTATTTGAGGTTCTGGAAGCTAGTGATGCAGTCTTGCCTGGCTATTTACCTGGGGAGGGAGGAACAGGTGGATGGGCAGACAGGTGGATTGATGGATTCATTAGCTACTGTGTAACATCGGTACCGGGAATAGAAGGGTGAACAAGGCAGATCTGGTCTTTGCTCTCTCATGGAACCTGCATTCCAGTTTGGGGCAAGGATTGGTGGTTTAGACGATGAGGAAATGACAGTGTGGTAAGTGTAGTAAAAGAGAACAGTGCTGTGAGTACTTTTTTTTTTTTGAGACGGAGTTTCGCTCTTGTTACCCAGGCTGGAGTGCAATGGCGCGATCTCGGCTCACCACAACCTCTGCCTCCTGGGTTCAGGCAATTCTCCTTCCTCAGCCTCCTGAGTAGCTGGAATTACAGGCACGCGCCACCATGCCCAGCTAATTTTTTGTACTTTTAGTAGAGACGGGCTTTCACCATGTTGACCAGGATGGTCTCGATCTCTTGACCTTGTGATCCACCGGCTCAGCCTCCCAAAGTGCTGGGATTACAGGTGTGAGCCACCGTGCCCGGTTTGTGAGTACATATTAACAGGGAACATAGCCTGGTTGAGTAGGGCAAAAACAAAGGCCTTTTTAAGGAAGCAGTGTTTTAGCTGATAGTTGATAAATAGGTTGACAAGCCTGATTATTTGTAAGTAGAATTCAGTTATAACTTGGCTTATTTATTATGGCATAGATTCCTGTATGTGTGAGTCAGATCTTATCCCCTGGAGCTTACCAATTACAAGTAATAACACTGATATATTTAATTGGCAGCACAGATGTGACTCCTGTCTCCTAGTTCCTGTGTTAATCAAACATTTTTAACTGTCTACCTAGCTGTGCAAGCCGGTGAGTCCAGTGCTGTGGAATATTCAAAGAAGCATGGCCCCATTTTTATTGTATAGCTGGGGAGAAAAGACAGTCACGTTGTAAATTAGCCAATGGATCAGTATGAAGAAAGAGCCAAGCCACTGTTTTAAAAGAAGACATGTTTTCTGAATTCACAGGGTGGTTAGGGAAGGAAGAGGTCATAGGCAGATCAGTTTGAACAGTGCCCAGAAGGAAGGAAGTTAGATAAATGTAGAGAAAAAGGAAGGGGAAGGTAAATCAGCTTGAGCAGACATGAAGGGAAAGTGGAAGCTATTCTTGAAGGACTCTTAGTGCAAATAATAATTTCATTTGTAAGGGAAGGAGGCCAAAGGATCAGCTCATGTCATATCTGGAGTCACAGGCTTAGAATTTCATCCTGGAGGCATTGGGGAGCTGTTAAAAATAAGTCCACCTGTGCCAGGTGCGGTGGCTTACACGGGCAATCCCAGCACTTTGGGAGGCTGAGGCAGGCAGGTGGCTTGAGCCCAGGAGTTTGAGACCAGCCTGGCCAACATTATCTCTACTAAAAATACAAAAAATTTGCTGGACGTGGTGGTGTGCGTCTGTAGACCCAGCTACTTGGGAGGCTGAAGTGGGAGGATTGTTGAACCTCGGAGGTAGAGGTTGTAATGCGCCGAGATCATGCCACTGCACTCCAGCCTGAGTGACAGAGGGAGACCCTGTCTCAAAAAAAAAAGAAAAAAAAAAAAGAAAGAAAGTCAGTTTTGCCAGAGAAAGGTAATAGAAATCTCGCAGAAGTTAACCCACTATTGCGTTTTTTTTTTCCCTCACAAAACCAAGGAATGAAGAGAAATGCTTGGATTGGGAAGGCCCAAAGTAAAGTTTGCATGTAATGTTGTCACTATATTTTGTGATGTCCTGCTAGCATTATATAGTAAATTAAAACTTGATTCTATTTCATTGTAATGTGAAAAAGTATCTCGTATGACACTTTTAGGAGGAAAATAATGTCAGAGAATTAAACAGGACCCTGGAGCTGAGAACAGTTAGGAATAAATGTTTGCCAAGGTGAGACATTTGTGAATGTGAGAACTGGTGACAGCTGGGAGTAGAGGCACAGGCTGGGAGTTGCGGCTACTCGGGAGACTTGAGGTAGGAGGGTCGCTTGAGGCCAGGAGTTTAAGGCTAACCTGGGCAACATAGCAAGATCCCAACTCTTAAAATAAAACAGTGGTGCAAGAATTCCACATTAACCTGGCCTAATATAGGTCAGACATTAGAGTTCTTATTCAGCTAGCCAGTGTCATAATCAAGTCATTGCTGTTTATATGGTACCTATCTTTTTTTAATGGTCCTTGAATCTATTCTTAATTGGTTGGGAATAACAAGAGGAAATAACTGATAATCTTATGTCTGAACTATTAAAATTCTCGTTTATCAACACTCAGAAGAGGACAGCATACTGGGTAATTGCGATTCCATGACATATATTTCCTATGAGAGAGACTAAGAAATACTTGACGTAACTTGCGCTCTGTTATGCGCAGGTACTGTTTGGTATGGCGTCCCCTAAGAACTGTAAAAACGCTAGCTCACAAGATGGTTGGGTGAAGAACTAGTTGTAGAATTGCATCCCAACAGGAATTTATGAGTGGTTCATTATCAGCCTTTGAGCTGGGATAACATTTATGTGATCTCTGAAGCAAGATCTGTATCTCAGGTGTGAAATATTAAGCATCATATATGAACCATTTCATCATTGGTGCATATATTGAAATGAAGGGCTTGCTTAATAAACACATGGGCAACACCAACCACAAGGGCGGGGTTAATATTTCAGAATGTTGGATATGGGACCAGAAACGTTAATTTATATTTATTAGTACCATTGACCGTTGAACAATGCAGGGGTAAAGGGCACCGCCCCCTCAACCAGTGGAAAATCCAGGTACAACTTTTGACTCCCCAGAGACTTCGCTGCTACTGCCTACTGTTGACCAGAAGGCTTACTGATAACATTAACCGTCATTTAACACATATTTCGTGTGTTACTTGTATCATGTACTATATAGTCACAATAAAGAAAGCTAGAGAAAAGGAGATACTAAGATTCTAAAGAAGAGGAAATATACTTGCTTTTCATTATGTGGAAGTAGATCATCATAAAGGCCTTCATCCTTGTCTAAATGTTGAGTAGGCTGAGGAGGGGGAGGAGGGGTTGAGCTCGATGTCTTGAGTGGAAGAGGAGGAAGAAAATCCACCTGTAAGTGGACTTTTGAAGTTCAAACCTGTGTTGTTCAAGGGTCAACTGTCTATTCATTTTCTGCTGTTGCCATAAATCACCATAATGTTAGTGGTATAAAACAACACAGATTTATTTTACAGTTGCATACTTCACAAGTCTGACCCCAGTCTCACTAAAATTAAGATGTCAAGACGGGACTTGAGTCCTTCTGGAGGCTCTAGGAGACAGTCTGTTTCCTTGTCTTTTGAAGCTCCAGAGGCTGCATCCTTAGCTCCTGAGCGCGGTTCTCCATCTTCAGTGCCTATGACATGGCGTCTCTCTGATACTGCTTCTTCTGCCACATCTCTTTCTCTGGCGTTCTCTTCTGCCTCTCTCCCACTTTTAAGGACCTTTGTGATTACAGACTCACCCTAATCATCCAGAATAATCTTCCTGTCGAGTCTTAATTTAGACTGCAAAATCCCTTTTGCCATGTAAAAAAACATGTTCATAGCTTCTGGGTATTAGGACTGGCATTGTTGGGTACCCTTACACTGCCTACCACAGGGAGATTCCCAGCTCAGGTACTTTCCGAAAAATTCACAGAAGCTGCTCAAGTGAACTCTCCTTTTAAAAACATTTGATTGGCAACTGGTGCAAATCTTAAAAAAAAAAATTGAGCATGGTGACCTCTTGATTCATCAGGTCTATTTGGGTTGGAAAAGCTTACTGACTAAAATGAAGAAAGGAGTAACTGCTGGTAAGGGACAAGAGATAACTTGGGAAGGGGACATGGTTGGCTTCACTAGTAAAGTGTAGACTAATGTTGATGTTAAAAAAATCCAAAACATGATTTTAGAATGAGTTAGTCACATGAGGCACTTCTGTTATAATTCAAGTTTTTATGAAGTGTCTCTGATGCTTTGGTGGCAGCTGCACTAAGACAAAACCCCAACCATTCAGCTCCTGAAGAACTGCTGTGATATCAAGGACATTGTTCTGATATGCTTAGCACTGGCTAGACCTTTACAGAAATAGTACATTTTGTCTTAGAATCTTGAGAAAAATTTGAAAATCTTGAGGTTTTAAATATAATAGCTAGTATTGTTTGAAAATTATGTCCTGAGATCCTTCTAGATGTTGTTCCTCACAGTAGCCCTGCAGGAGAGGTAGTTGCATTCCTGAGTCAGGACTGTCCATTTTAAGTGCTAAAAGAAAGGGGGACATTGGGAGAGCGTATGTTGGCTTACATAGCCTAACTGCCAGAGGCTATGGGCAGAGCTCACTTGATGGAAGACTACAGTCTGAGGGTTGAATGATGTCAGGACTCTCTTCTCTACTTGGTTTTTTTCTATAGGTTTCATTCTTTCCAGAGCATCTGTACCTAGAACCTAAGTTCTGTCAATATAGGTATGTCTCCAGTGACAGATGCATAGTAGGTGTTTATTGGATGTGTGTTAAATGAATGATTTTCTTTCTGCAGAATAGAGCCGGGTGGGGAGTGTGGGATCTAATGGAATTTTGACCGTCAGCCTCTACAAGAAGCACATGGTTTGAAGGAGCCCTTCCCAGAAGGAGGCGCTATTCTGAGCAAACAACACAAATTTCCACAGTATTCCACTTTACCAATAGAGAAATAGAAGGGATTCAGAAAAAGTAAACAGATTGGCCAAGGTCACAGATAGGAACTCATAAAGTCCAGATTCAGACTCGATCTGTGGATTTTATTTTTGGGGGGTTAGGGGGTGGGGAAAGGTGTTTATTTCCTGGTTATTTCTAAGAAAAGCGGCCATACCAGCAGACCTGAGTTTAATAGACTCTGGCTTATCTGTGTTCTTTCTGCTTTGCCACCACATCTCATCAGTGAAAGGAGCTCAGTGAAATGAAGGTCAGAAATGGGGCAGGGTAGCTTGGCAGGATGATGTCTTCAGGGAGCGCTTGACCACTTGATACTTGTTCAGTGTCATATTGGTGTTCAGAGATGCTAGATTGTTTTATGGTCTTGGAACCTCTTAATAACCCCAGATATGGGATAAAAAGAGGTGGAAAAAATTGTTTTCTCTTCTGAGTTATTTTGGAAAGTCAAATATAAAATATGAAACATTTTAGATTATTAAATCATTTAAATAAATATTATTTTGCTGTATGGTCTTTCCCACTATTTTTGAAAAACACATAAGAATAAAAGTTAATAACTGTCTTTAGGAACTGTTGAATATGAATTAGATTGTGCATGTTTGTAAATAGTTCTTAAATAATTGTAACCATTTTTTCTTAGTGATACAAATAGGAGTTGAAAGACTTTATTAAAAAATAATTTGTTATGAGCCAAGGTCTTTGAAGAAATGCATGTAAATGTTAGTATTGCTACTGCATTTGGGTTATTACAAAAGGAGCCCTGTATTTGGTACCTGATGTTGGAAAGATATTTTAAAATGTTGCCAGGCAAAGAGTCGCCTCAGTTATGTGTTCTAGGAATGTGTTTGATAGCGTGTGTTTTATAGGGCACAACGTTAGAGTCTGCTTTCTGTAGCATGTGAAAGAAATTAGTCTGGATTTGGTAATATACCAAATAGTGTAATAGCTAGAAAAGTTAGTTTCAGCTCTTGAAAAGTCCGTTTCATGAGTCCATGGTTTATACAAAGTAACATTTCTTTTAATATGAAACATCAAAGGAAGAGAAATTAACTATAGGTACTAAAATAATGAGCCTCATTAGATAAAATTGTCAGTGAATTTTTCCCATGTTGTTTAAAAACAACTAATCACAGTTCATTTAAAAAAAGTAGTTATTTGAAGCTGGGCACAGTTGGTACATGCCTGTAGTCCCAGTTACTCCGGAGGCTGAGGCTGGAGGATGGCTTGAGCCCAAGAGTTGGAGGCCATGTGGGCAATATAGTGAGACTCTTGTCTCTTTTTTTTTTTGAGACGGAGTTTCACTCGTTACCCAGGCTGGAGTGCAATGGCGCGATCTCGGCTCACTGCAACCTCCGCCTCCTGGGTTCAGGCAATTCTCTTGCCTCAGCCTCCCGAGTAGCTGGGATTACAGGCACGCGCCGCCATGCCCAGCTAATGTTTTGTATTTTTAGTAGAGATGGGGTTTCACCATGTTGACCAGGATGGTCTCGATCTCTTGACCTTGTGATCCACCCGCCTCAGCCTCCCAAAGTGCTGGGATTACAAGTGTGAGCCACCGTGCCCGGCCGACTCTGTCTCTTAAAAGAAGTTAAGTGTCTCAGTAATTGTAAGCCTTTTTTTCCTGTCTTCACTAACGTGCACAATCTGTCTTTACTAACAGGCACAATCGAATTTACTAAGAGCAGCTGACTCCAGGGGAAGGGTGGTTGGTGATAGTGGTGTTTATACACCCAAAGGGCAATATGTAGTTTGAAAGAACTTTGCCCTGAGAGTTTTGCCTGTTATTTGGTACTGTGAAAAATATCTAGTTTAGAAAACAAAATGACCTTCATTATTATTATTGTTAGGGCTTCGTTTCTGTCTTCATATTTTTGCTTTATTCTAAACAGTTAAAGCTAATTGGACTTTTTAAAGTTGGGTCACTTGTAGCCTAATTGAAACACAACATAAAATCATATAAAAGCAAACTTAATTATTAAACTTACGTTGTAAGTATATTTTTAGCTTTCTAGAACTGACAGTTTTGCAAGTAAATCAAATTATCTGTGATTTTTGAAATAAGAGCGATCTACTCTTTAGAGCTGGGAAATATGAAATAAAAAGCTATATGCATTTCTAGTTTTCTTTAGTATTTCGTTTTTCCTGAAGTGTCCATGGTTCTCTATGACTAGCTCTCTTTTCAGAAATCTCTGGTAGGCTATGGGATTGTTTCATCTTGGGGTCACTGTTGTTTCCTTTAGTAGATCTGAACTCTTAGGTTTGCTGGTGTTGTGTTAAATAACTGGTTGTTCATCCCCAGTGTCTGTGCTAAGCTCCCAGAGATGTCTGTGGCCCTGTGCAGCGGCCAAAACCAAAACTGGCTTATATGCTTATTTCCAGCGGAACACGAGCACTACCCTGGGGTTTGGAGCATAAAGAAGGTGTTAATTGCAGCCTTTGGCACCGATTTGCCCTTATGCTGTTAGGTAAATAAATCTAGGTACCAGGTCCAGTGGCTGAGCCTATTAAGTCATCACTATCACCAGTTTCATGGCTGACTCCGCGAGCCCAAGTTAGGTGTTCCTCCCTCTCCCAGTAACATGCCCTGTAGCCGCTGCTGATTTCAGTTTGCCTGCAGTTAGATGATTAGGTGAAGTCTGACCAGGTAAACCCTTGGAATGTCCAGTTGACAAGGAGGATATCTAAATGATCCTTTTTTTTTTCTTTTTTTTGAAAAGAGATCATCATTCAGGTCTTTCTGAGCTAAGGCCAAACAAACAAAAAACGCTTGCTTGGATGAACTGAGTGCTGTTGTTAAAAGTAAATATGGAAAGTGAACCAGACCACGAAACTGTGGACCAGAGCCTCTATGCCAAGACGGCCGAAGAAGAGCTGAATAAGTCTTTCAGTCTAGAAGCTTCACTTTCAAAATTCTCTTACATAGATTTGGACAAGGAACTGGAGTTCAAAAACGATCTGGTAAAAATATCCACTTTTGTCAAGTGATGATGTTTAACCAGGGTTGGTTAGAGTATGCTTTATGACCCAGAGACTCTAAGCCTGTCATTTTTGCATGGGTTAATAGGAGTCTCTGTATAGTTTTTTTTTCTTCTTTTTTTTGATATAGGGTCTCACTCTGTCCAGGCTGGAGTACAGTGGTGCAAACATGACTCGCTGAAGCTTCAACCTCCTGGGCTCAAGCGATCCTCCCGCCTCAGCCTCCCAAGCAGCTGGAACCATAGATGTATGCCACCATGCCCGGCTTGTTTTGAATTTTTTGTAGAGAGGGTATCGCAGCGTCACCCAGGCTATTCCCAAACTCCTGGACCCTAGCAATCCTCCCTTCTTGGCCTCCTGTGTGTATGGTTGTATGAGATAACATCACCCTTCATTTGGATAGTCCATTGCAGTTTATGAAATGATTTGATTCATGTTGTCATTTGAGCTTCACAAGTCTCACAACACTCTGATAATCCGTTGTATAGATGAAGACACTGGCATGCAGCTATGTTAAATGACCTCTCAAAGTCACAGAGCCAGTGGTAGGTTTCTTATCTTGTACAACATTTTTTTCTCCATTTGATTTAATATTAAATTAATGGATTTCTGCAAGTATGAGAATATTTAATGACAAGTTGCTTGACCTGATTATCTCTCCCCATAATTTATGAAATAACTAAGAAATGTGATGTCAGACTTTTGCTTATTGCTTATGACTTATGTCTAAACTTAGAAAATTAGGGGTTGTCTTAGATGTTGTTTTGTCATGTTTAGGAAAGCAGATGCAAAAGTCTTTCAACCGAAGTTTTCTGGAAAGTAGGCCAGGCTCAGTGGCTCATGCCTGTAATTCCAGCACTTTGGGAGGCCAAGGCAGGCGAATCACTTTCAGTCAGGGGTTCAAGACTAGCCTGGCTAATATGGTGAAACCCCGTCTCTACTAAAAATACAAAAAAATTTAGCCGGGCATGGTGGCACATGCCTGTAATCCCAGCTGCTTGGGAGGCTGAGGCAGGAGAATCGCTTGAACCCAGGAGGTAGAGGTTGCAGTGAGCTGAGATTGCACCATTGCACTCCAGCCTGTGCATTACAGCGAGACTCAAAAAAAAAAAAGTTTTCTGGAAAGGGCTGTCAGGCTACTGTAGTTAGTGCATATTTGTTCTTGATAGTAACTGAATGTGTAGAGAGGAAATGAAACCACTCTGTAGTCTTGACTTGATTATTTCTATGAATTTTTGAGTTGATTTTGTGATCATTTTGATGGTAAGTTTGTCTTTTAATTGATGATGGTTTTAATCAATGAAAACTCCTTGCAGTTATAAGGAGAAAGACATCATTTTGTGAGCATTATTTTTTTTTCTTTATTTAGATTGATGACAAGGAGTTTGATATTCCTCAAGTTGACACGCCTCCAACACTGGAAAGCATACTAAATGAGGTAAGTGAACATTAATGATTACTGCCATTTCATGGCATGAATCTTAATACTTTTTGGGTTAGTTATCATACATGCGCCTAGATGTGCACTATCCAGTAGGGCAGCCACTAGTCGTGTGTGGCATTAAAATTTAAATTAATTATAATCAAATAAAAACTCAATTCCTTGGTTGCACAAGGTACATTTCAAGTGCTCAGGAGCCACAGGTGGCTGGTGGCTGCTATGTGGCTAGGGGATAGCATAGACAGAGTATTTCCATCATCACAGAAAGTTCTCTTGGACAGCAGTAGTCTAGATTGGAGCTTCTCAAGGGCAGAAACCATGTCTTGTTCCTCTTTAGAATCTCCATGCCCAGCACACTGCCCAATACTTGGCAGATTTTAAGATATATTTTATTGGGCCAGACTCAGTGGCTCACACCTGTAATCCCAGCACTTTGGGAGGCCAAGGTGGGTGGATCACCTGAGATCGGGAGTTTGAGACCAGCAAGACCAACATGAAGACACCCCGTTTCTACTAAAAATATGAAATTAGCCAGGTGTGCTTGTGCATGCCTGTCATCCCAGGTACTCAGGAGGCTGAGGCATGAGAATTGCTTGAACCCAGGAGGTGGAGGTTGCGGTGAGCTATCACGCTACTGCATTCCAGCCTGGAGTTGCAACAAGAACTCTATCTCAAAAAAATAAAAGAAAATACATTTTATTAAGTAAATAGCGATGCAAAATTTATGTCACTGTTGAAGTTTGTATTATGTGTTGCTAATGGTAAGTTTTCTCTACCACCGTTATTCAAATAGCTTACCCTCTGACACTAAAGAACATCGTGCAACCTTGTGAGCGCCATCACTCTTCCGTATGAAGAAAACCAAGCTCTTACAGTTTATCTTACGATTACCATTTCTATTAAAAAGTTTTTCAGAGTTTTGAAATGGCGGTATTCTTTTCTTAGTCGGGAGATCGAAGGCTTTCTAAAGGGACTTTCTAATGTGAGAGTACGTGGTTGGGGAAGCATGCCTGTTTTATGTCCCCTGCGTCTGCTGGCAACCCTTCAACCCAGTCATCTTCATCTTTTAAAAACTTGCTTGTGACTTCCCTTGGAGGTTTTAGCTTCTAATTTGAGGAAGACCTTGTAACATATAAATCTATTTCAAATCCACAGTTATGTTTTCCAAAAGGTAAGGATGCAAAAGTTCCCTGACAGAAATGCCCATGTGTACCAAAGCTCCCAGTGAGCTGGGTCTCTGACTGTAGGATTTCTTTGCCTATTCTTTTAGTGTTATAGTCAACACTTTATAGGACGCAAATGACTTTCTCTGTCAATTATATCTTTTATTTTTCTTGTATGACTTTTATTTCTACGTTTTGTATCAGTTGGATGTTGCTGTTACTTTGAATGTATTTTAACTTGGAATGTGTTTTAACTTCAGAAGTGTTCTGTATGTTCTGTGTGAAGACTGAGGCATTTTTAGTTTTGACAAAGAAGGCTTTGGTCCATGAAAGAATATTCTGTTACAGTGAAATGTCCTGTATTTACTTTCTAATGTAGAGGAAATCTTTGATTTAGAGGCGAGGAGATTAATTTTAGTCAATTTTGTTAAAATGGTCTTATTCCCATTCTCATTTCAATTATCTTATTAAGGGTAAAAGAAAAATCTTAGAGGATTGTGTCTAAGGCCTTGTACATCATTATATAATATCAGCAAAGAAAATAAATGCTCATCGGAATGAGCTGTAGTTCATCATGAAGGAAAACTGTTCTTGCGCAAGAGCTTTCTTATCTGTGAGTAGCAGTAAGTCCAGTCATTAGTGGTTTACTAAGAAGATAATACTGTTATCATCCTCAGTAGTAGTTTGAGTGGCTGGTGTATTTGGGTCATGGTGTTAGATGTTGGGGTTATAAAGTGCTATATGACTGTCTCTGTGCTTGAGAGGGAAACGAGGCTGGGAACTGGCCAGCCTTTACATCTCCAGGGAACCAGGCAAGTCGTAAGTGGAAGAAAACACAGTTCAAATTGTAGACCATTACGAAGACTGTAAGGGGACTGTGGGGAGTAGTAAAGAAAATGACTGAAGGAAAAATGAAAAGGGCCGAAGTAGAAAGTGTAAAGAAACCTTTTCCCAGAATATGTGGATGCATATATTCTATAATGTTCATTAATACCAACCTTAAGGGATACCAGGAAGAAATGGACATCCAGGTTTTGTTTTTTTCTTTTTTTGAGATGGAGTCTCACTCTGTCACCCAGGCTGAAGTGCAGTGGTGTGATTGGGGCTCACTGCAACCTCTGCCTCCTGGGTTCAAGTGATTCTTGTGCCTCAGCCTCCCAAGTAGCCGGGATTACTGGTGTGCACCATCCACCTGGATAATTTTTAAAAATTTTTACTAGAGACAGGGTTTTGCAATATTGGCTAGGCTGGTCTCGAACTCCTGACCTCAGGTGATCTGCCTGCCTTGGCCCCCAAAGTGCTAGGATTACAGGCATGAACCACTGTGCCCAGCTTTACACACACATTGCTATTGGACATATAGCTAGGAGTAGAATTAGTGGGTCATCAGGTATAGTTATATTTAGCTGTAGTGTATGTTGACGCAGTTTTTCAAAGTGGTGGTATTGATACACATTTCCAGCAGCAGTATATGGGATTTCTTTTTTTTTGTTTGCTCATTTACAATTCTTATTTTGACATTTACTTCAAACTTATCTACGTGGTCCAAGAATTAGATGAGTAAAGGGACACCTGTGGATGCCCCAGATTCACCAGTTATTATATTTTTTCCCCGTATGCTTATCATTTGCCCACTTGCTTGCTTGCTTTCTCTCTATAGACACACCATTTTTTTCCTGCCTTATTTGAAAATAAATTGCATTCAGTGCATACTTCTTAAAACTAAAGAGATTCTTTTCCACCACAGGACAGTTACGAATTTCAGTAAATGGAGTACTGGTAATATGATACCCAGTCCACTGTCTTCTGTTTCTCAGTTTTGTCAATTAACCCAACGATGTTACTTTTGGCACCTTCCCTTCTTCAATATGAAATCCAGGATAGGATCTTATTTAGCGTTCATATCTCTCAAGTCTCCTTTAATCTCAAACATTACTTTGCCTTACCGACTGTTTTCTAACAATACAACTCCATGCCTCATACCCCCACCCCACCTCTCCCTCTCTCTCTCTCTCTCTCTCTCTCTCTCTCTGTGTGTGTGTGTGTGTCTGTGTGTGTGTGTGTCTGTGTGTGTATGTGTGTCTGTGTGTGTCTGTGTCTGTGTGTGTGTCTGTGTGTGTCTGTGTGTGTGTGTGTGTGTGTGTGTGTGTGTGTTTAAATAGAACTATTCACCATTTGTGGTTTCTCTGCCGTGTCCTTGAGTTTAGATTCAGGGTCTGTATTCTGGATTTCTGATATATGGGATATATATGGGATTTCTGATTACCTTATAAACTTTTGAATTTTTCACTTTCATTCTTAACTGGTGTGTAGTGCTATCACATCATGATTTTAATTTGACTTTCCCTGAAGACTAATGAAATTGGTCATATGTTTTGACCATTTGGCTGTCTCTTTTGTGAATTGCCTTTTCATATAATCAGCCCACTTCTGTCGTTTTATTTTTTAAGTGATTCATAGGAGTTCTTCACATATGCTAAAGAAGCCCTTTATTTGGTGTAATTATTGTATCTTCTTTCCTTCTGTATGTTACCTTTTTACTTTATTAATGGTTTCTTTTGAGGAGCGTAAGTTCTTAATATAGTTCAGCTTATTAACATTTTCCATTTGTGTGTGTGTATGTCCCCTATTTAAGAAAATTTTGCCAATTCCAAGGTATTGATGATCTCACCCTATTTTGTTCTAAAATCTTCATTGTTGTTCCTCTGATATGTAGATCTGTAATTTATCTGTAATTTTTGGGTGTGGTAGTGTGAGCTCTGAGCCAGCACCATTTACTAAAAAGAGTATTCTCATCTGGTGTCACCTTTGTTATAAATCAGGTGTTCATATGTGTGTGGATCTGAGTCCGTTGGTGTGTCTGTACTTGCCTCAATCTCACATTCTGGTGATTGAATCTTTATTCAAATAGGTCTTGCTATCTGGTAGTTTAAAATCTCCAGCTTCGATGTTATTCTTCAAAATTGCCTTGCTTATTCTTGTGGGTTTTTTTTTTTTTTGCATTTTCATGTTTTTGAATTAGTTTATCAGTTTACACACACACACACACACCTCAGCTGAAAATTGAAAGGACTGTGCAGTGTTTTCACATCAGTTTGGGGCTAATTGACATTTTTACTGAGTAGCAGTAGTTTTAAATTCAGCCTTGACATCCTCACTTCTTTTTTTCCCTTCACTCTTTCTTTCACTTATCCTGTAAGCCTGGCTTAATTCATCCGATCCATTTTCTTTAATTATGTCCCCAGGCTTCTTAAGACAATCAAATAACATTTTGATTGACTCTCTTGCTTAAGATGCTGCTGTTCTTATTTCTCAATTATCCTTCCCTTTTCCTATAGCAGTTCTTCCAATCTTTACAGCACTCAAGCAACATAATGTCTTATTGCCAGTCCTGACCCGGTTCTTAGAAGACCTATGCGTAGAGATCTCTGGAAAGCAGTTGTAAATTTGTACCTAAACCTTGAGAAATGTTGATGCTAAAGACACAGATTTTGGAGTCATTAGATAACGTGGTTCTTAAAGCTATAGATATGGATGAGCTTGCTCAAATAGGAAGTACATGAAATAGGAAGAGAAGAAAGGAGCTTAGAATAGAATCCTGGAGGACAATCGTATTTAAAGGTTGGGCTGAGAAGAAGCTAGGGCATGTGACTAACAGGAGGACGCATAAGTTACCGGAGAACCAGGAAGGAGAGATGTACCAAAAACCAAAGGAAAAGAAGTTTCAAGATGGAGTGAATGGGCCAGGCGTGGTGGCTCAAGCCTGTAATCCCAGCACTTTGGGAGGCCGAGGCGGGTGGATCACGAAGTCAAGAGATCGAGACCATCCTGGTCAACATGGTGAAACCCTGTCTCTACTCAAAATACAAAAAATTAGCTGGGCATGGTGGCGTGTGCCTGTAATTCCAGCTACTCAGGAGGCTGAGGCAGGAGAATTGCCTGAACCCAGGAGGGGCAGGTTGCGGTGAGCCGAGATTGTGCCATTGCACTCCAGCCTGGGTAACAAGAGCGAAACTCCGTCTCAAAAAAAAAAAGATGGAGTGAATGAGTCAGGCGTGGTGGCATGCACCTGGAGCCCCAGCTCCGTGGAGGCTGGAGTGGAGGACTGCTTGAGCCCAGGAATTTGAAGCTGCAGTGAGCTGTAATTGCACCACTGCACGCCAGCCTGGGTGAAAAGGAATGGTCAATGGTTAAATGATGCTGGAGGACAAGAACATGCTAACAAAAAGCAGCCCGGTGGATGTGTCTAGTCACCTCAGCAAGACCGGTAGGGGCTTGTAATGAAAGGAGAGAGTTGAGGTAGTGAGTGGAGGTTACTCTCTCAAGCACATTGATTGGAAATGGTAAGTCAGAAGGTAGTCCAGCTGAAAGACATGAGATATCAGTGTCCTATGTCTTTGTCACTTAGAATCAACTTGTGCAAAGCCAGGTTCCTCATCCTGCTTTATGTGCCATTTGCTTTCTAATTCCAGTGAGTAGGCTCACCTTTTGCTTAGTGGTTCAGGCTGGGAACCCTGTGCTCTTCTTTGACTTCTCCCTTGTCTCTCCTCTCATCCCTGCCCCTACTCTACCCCCCATTTCAATGGTAACCGGAGATGTGTGAGTTTTCCTCAGTAATGTGTGTCATCATTCCCTCTGTTGGCCTCTTCTGCAGCTCCTTAGGTTGGGATCTCTTGTTTTCCTTGATAGTGCAGTAGCCCTCTTACTGGTCCTTACAGTCTTTTCTCACCCCTCATCCATGCTTCATACTGCCCCACTTCTCTTTCAAAACAGGGTTCCCATCGTGTCTTTCCACTTCTTAAATATGTCAGTTGCCTTCCCACTGCCTACTATATATAGTATACTAAATATTTATTAAACAAGAACTGATTATGTATCAGGAGTTATACTAGGCACTAGGGGTACAATGGTGAACAAGATAGACGTGGGCCCTGCTGCCATCTAGTGTAATGGAATATAAGGCTTCTTATGGGTTGGGTACCAGCTTATCTTTCTAGGGCCATCTCCAGTTCTGCTTATATCCTCAGACATTTTGGACTACTACTTTCCCCATGGGCAAAATCTGTATTGTGAAATCACTGTGTCTTTCTGTGCTGTTTTCTACCCAGAATGCCTTTCTGCTGTATGCTTGTCTACTATTTTTTATAGTAGACTATTTATAGTCAGGTGGTATTTTTTTTTTCTTCATATAAGCCATTGGCTGTTGTTTAACTGGTAAATCATCTGTAAAAGCTTGATTTTTAAGAAATATTCTACAGTTAACGATAATCCACGTAACTGCTCCTGCTTCTTCCTGCTACAAGAAAGAAGTTTTGGGGGTGAATTCTTTATAGAGAGACAGAGCTATGTAGAATTTAATACTACTAATTCTGTATGGTGCCTTTCAGGTCAATAAGAATGCATGAAATGAATCGAGGTGAAAAGCAGAAATAAGCACTTGTGTGCTCTGCAGAAACCATTAATGCCTGGCTTATTTCATAGAGTATTTGGATTTTGAATGTATTGATTTATCTTCTTCCACTTTAGACTGATGACGAAGATGAGTCTTTTATTCTTGAGGACCCTACATTGTTAAACATTGACACTGTTGATTCTCACTCCTATGATACATCATCTGTGGCAAGCTCAGATAGTGGTGACAGGACCAACTTAAAAAGGTAGGTATTCATATCAGTCATACCTGCTTACAGTTGAAGTGTTTGATTGTTTCAAATGTAATGTACTTTTTCTTTCTTTTTTTTTTTTAATATTTTTTGAGCACAGTAAGGAGTTCAAGGCCAATCTGAACAATATAGGGAGACCCCCATCTCTATAAAACAATTAAAATAAAAACTCCAAACTTTTCTAAGGGGTCAGAACCCTAAAGAGTTGTACAGTTCATCTCCTACCATCTGGTGTGTACATGTCTTACCAGTGCACCCAAAGCACTTCATATTCCTGATCAGTAGGTCTAAGGTTATTAATACAGTTGATCATCGTGTGTGTGTGTGTACTTGTTTGTGTGTGTGTATATATATATATGGCATAGAGCTGCATTTGAAGCTATTAATTATTTCAGTTTACAGCAATCCAGTAATGTCAATGATGACTCATCTGGATTTTTGAAGAGTCATACAGGTGAATTAAAGAGAGAAGTAATGAGGACCACCATTCCTGTGTTATCCAGGTCTTTTAAGATTGCACTCATGTCTGCCTTCTAATTCAGTTGCCTTTGATTTAATATGGTCAAGACCTATTTTCGTAGGCTTTCACCTTTCCTACAACAGCAGCTCTTTCTTCAGCATGTCAAAGAACCAATGTGAGTTTTGTGCCAAGTTTTAATTATGTCCATTAAAATTATTCATTTGGGAAGCAAAGAAGCGATTACTGCGCTACAGCCTAAGCAGGTATCCATTCGTTACCTGACCCTCAGGCGCTCTTACTTTATCAGGGGTCCCTGAAAGCGCTTTCTTTTTTATCCGAGTGTCTGAACTTGTCTTACAAACTCAATGTTATAATAAAGCATCTCTTGAATGATTTCAGATTTTCCAGAATTGCAAGTAGACATGTAATAACAACCTATGACACTGACTCATGCCTGGATTCTACTGAGTACTTGAACCCCATACACTTCACTTTATTGGAAGGAGCTTGTATTAGTCAAGATTCTCCAAAGAGGAGAAATAGGGTAGGAATAGAATGTCCAAAATCTGCAATGTGCGCCAGCAGGCTGGAGACCCGGGAGGAGCCAGTGTTGCAGTTCAGGTGTGAAAGCCAGCTGCCAGCCGAATTTCTTCTTGCTCCTGGGAAGTCAGTTTTTTTCTTCTATTCAAGCCTAAACTGATTGGACGAAACGTGCCCACATCATGAAAAGCAATGTGCTTTACTCAGTGTCTGTCTACCAGTTTAAACATTAATCTCATTCAAAATCATCCTGGCAGAAATATCCAGAGAAGAATGTTTGATCACATATTTGGGCATCATTTTCCAGCAAAGTCGACACCACTGCTGAGCCTTATAAAATTTTATTTCTCCTTGTTTCAGGCTAGCCTTTGTATCTTTTTTTTTTTTTTTTTTTTTTTTACATTCCACCATTGTATCAATAGCGGCTTTTGGCAACTTCTTTTTTTTTTTGGAGAGAAGGAAAGAAAAAAAGGAGTGAAGGAGAGGAAGAAAGAGGAAGAAAAAGAGAATGGAAATGTTACTTTATTCTAAAAAATGGGTATTAATAATGGCCAATCAATATTTCATTTAAACCTATGAGTAGGTGTGATGTGGTATTGACAAGAATGTATATTTTGTGTATTTAAAGTGGAGAGCTCTATAAATATTTATTAAGTTTACTTATTCCGGATCTGAGTTCGAGTCCTTGATATCCTTATTAATTTTCTGTTTTATTGAGTCTAAGTCTCTATGTATCTGGGTGTCAGGATCGTTAACTCTTGTTGTTGCATTGATTCTTTTACCACTATATCTTTGTTGCTTTAAAATCTATTTTATCAGATTCGAGAATTGCAACTCCTGCTTTCTACTTATTTATTTATTTTTGCTCTCCATTTGGTTGGTAAATCTTTCTCCATCCCTTTGTTTTGAGTCTTTGTGTATCCCTGCATGTTAAATGGGTCTGGATGTAGCATACCGTTGGGTTTTGGCTGTATCTTTTTAAGACTGATGGTGCTTATCTGCCTGGGAATCTCCAGTCTGGCTTCCTTCTTGAGTCCGTAATAGGCGACTCTGCCTTCCCGGAGCTCCAAACCTCAGTCAGAAGGGGAACCAGTCCCGTTTACTCTGCACCAAGAGCTGCCACGTGTAGGTGCAGCAAAACCGCCGCGCTGGCCACAAGAGTGGCGCTGGCGACCCGTGGGGCCCCTCCACTGGGAATCTTCTGCTCCGGGAGCGACAAAAATTTGTCTGAAAGTATGGTGTCCTCTCGTACTCTGCGCTTTCACTGGGAACCTCAATCCTGAGATGTTAGCGGTCAGCCATCTTGGATCGTTCTCGGAATGTACTTTTTAAAGTACAATATGGTCTGTTGAAGCCCTGCATGGGAAGTAGAAGGTCCACTTGTATGGATGTAATATTTTGAAGATTTTGACACCATTGAGGAAGAACATAGAAGGGTAGGTGCTAGGACCACTGTCTGAACTCTCAGTAGGAAGCCATAATGACAGCCAGGGACTCCGGGAAGGAAGCACAGATCAAACCTGGCACCCTGTCTGTGGTGGGAACACCCAGCTTGGTTCACCACCTTCCCGTTCCTTGCGCCTCCCGCACCTCCCCGCCGCCTGCATTCTGTCACTCCCGTTCCGTGCGCCTCCCGCACCTCCCCGCCGCCTGCATTCTGTCACTCCCGTTCCGTGCGCCTCCCGCACCTCCCCGCCGCCTGCATTCTGTCACTCCCGTTCCGTGCGCCTCCCGCACCTCCCCGCCGCCTGCATTCTGTCACTCCCGTTCCGTGCGCCTCCCGCACCTCCCCGCCGCCTGCATTCTGTCAGATGAGCCTGCCTTCATTCTCGTGGAGTGGGTTCAGAGAATCACAGAGATGGTGGACTTCTAACCCTAAGTAACTTAAATTTGGGCTGCTTTTCACCTTCAGAGTTCTTGGAGAGAATATGAAAAGGAAAGAGAAGTAGAGAAATAATAATAGAAATACATGATTGAATTCATATGTAACTTCAATATTGATAAAGTAATCTATTTTTCTTCTTCAATTTTGCCTGTGTCGAAGCTCTATTCTTTGGGTTCTCTCTTGTGGGATAGGTGTCGTTGCTGGTTATGTTAACCTGTTTGGTCCTGTGTTCTTCAAATAGATAAATTTTTTTTGATGATCTGGTCACTACCTGCTTAAAAGATACGTTGTCGTCTGTTCGCCTCCGTAATAAAGTCAGAACCCGTGTGTGCCGTCAGTCTGGACTGTGCTCACTGTGTGACCTGGTCTGTAAGCACTCTCACCTCAGGCCTCCTAGCCGGACTTTGGTGTGTGTGCACCCCAGACATGCTGTACACCTTTACATCTTCACATTTCTGCTCATGCTTTTCCCTGACAGACTCCTCGTCCTCCATCAAGGTCAAATCAGGCATCTTCTCTCTTTTTTTTTTTTTGAGATGGAGTCTTGTTCTGTCACCCAGGCTAGAGTGCAGTGGCATGAGCTCGGCTCACTGCAACTTCCGCCTCTCGGGTTCAAGCGATTCTCCTGCCTCAGCCTCCCAAGTAGCTAGGACTACAGGTGTGCGCCACCATGGCCAGCTAATTTTTTGTATTTTTAGGAGAAACGGGGTTTCACCTAGTTGGTTGGGCTGGTCTTGAACTCCTGACCTTGTGATCTGCCCACCTTGGCCTCCCAAAGTGCTGGGGTTACAAGCATGAGCGACCATGCCCGGTTCTTCTCTTTTCTATAGCTATCCCTAATATCCCCAAATAAACAATTAAACTGTTCTTCATTTGCATTTATGTGGTACGTAATTCATATTTCTAGCCTAACATTTATCCTTGAAGAGGTATTTATCAGCCTCTCTAGCTAAGCTATGAGACCCTGACTGTAGTAACTGTGCCTTTCTTCTTTTTGGATTTCCAGAGCATACTTCTAGTCATACAGAGTAGGTGCTCAGTAATGCTGGGTCAAAGTTTAACAGTTACTTTTTTTGTATGATGATGAGTAGATGGGGAATTTGAGGAGGTGGTTGATTGAAGAATGAGCGGGTAGTTATAGGAGGAGCAGCGCGGGAAAGGTGAGCAAGCGTAGGAAGGCAGCAGAGGTGATACAGCCTCGCAGGCAGGAGGAGTGCTCTGGAGGCAGCCTTCTGGGGAACGTCAGAACCTCCTGCTGCATTACCTAAGGTGGGCATGGAGCAGTTTGAATCCGTGAGAAAGGAATGGCGATTTTATTCATTTTCCTGCTTGTGCTGCTTTGAGGTTCAAGGTGGGTTTAATACATTTTAAGGTGGAATGGTTAGATTCTTCATACCTCTCTTAAAAACAGATCTGACAAATTCCGTACAGTGCTGTGTTCTGCTTTTGTGTGTGTGTGTTTGCCTTCAAAGCGTCGGGACCCGCCTTTTCACTTTCTTTGGTCTGTTTTTAAATATTTTTCTTTTCTTTTTTAGGAAGAAGAAATTACTTGATTCTTTTTCACTCCATGGATCAGTTATGCGACATTCACTTTTGAAGGGAATTTCTGCCCAGATAGTGTCTGCAGCTGTAAGTATTCTGTTTTTTCCCTCGGCTTTATAACCTGCAGTGGCATAATGAGGAAGGAATGAGCATAAAACAAAACACAGCACTTCTCTTGGCCCGAGGGTTCAGAAAAATACAATCTGGCTTTCATGGCTTTTGTGTGATGATTTTTGACTCATAAGACGTGGCTGCATGTCTTGACGTAGAAATTAGTGCAGCCATGAAAATAAAGTTCTGCTCAGAATCTAGGCTGTGCCTAAATGAAATACGGCGGTAAGCCCCAAATCAATCCTATCTGCATTTTCTTTAAATTTTCAGTTTAGTTGCCATCTTGTGTATTGGTTGAGATTGAGTGCTTGTTTTTTGACTCTTTTCATACGGAGAAATGATCGATCCGAATGTTTTACAACTGAATGATTTTCTTTTTATAATTTACAAAAGTATTTTCATGTACCTTATTTCATTTATTCTTAAAACTTGGAAAGTAGGTAAAGCCATATTCTGTTTTACAGAAGAGAAGAGAGCCTCAGAAAGGTGTTATTAATTTATCTTAGATCATTCTGCTAGGAAGTAGCAAGGCATTTATTCAAAATTGGGGTTTCTGGCTTCAGCCATAGTGCCTCTGTTGTGAAATGGAGGTGGCATTGGTGAACGTGACCAATGTGTGAAATGGCTGGAACAGAACATCTGTGGCCTTTTTTCAGAATTATTAAGAGGACTGGGTTAATGTAAACCATATTTAATGGTCCATAGACAGTAGAACTTTTCTTTTGCCGCTGTTAGACTTTCCTTTTGACCTCACAGCCCAGAGTTTTATGTAGTCTTTCAATTTTGGTTTTCTAAATTCAATGTATACATTCTGTATATAATGATAATGACAGATTTATACTCCAGGAAGTTTGATGTGTTTTTATGTACTTTTTGGGGCATTTAATTGGCATTTTGCCTAGTCAAGTTGGACAAGAGATAAAAGTTTGTATTTTTCAAGAGGGCGAGAGATTGATATAGAATTATAAGATACCACAATTGCACTTCAGTGTTCAGGTTAATCAGAAAAAGCCCTTTGTGCAGATACCAAAAAAAAAAAGTGTTTACTATGACAGTTGGTGTATCCTGACCTAGCTCATGTATCATGAAGTCAATTTAGAGATGCTCAAGCCATGGAGAAAACCTGGGCAATTGTTCTTCCTCTTTTAGCTGGAGAGTAACTCATAGTTGCTAGAATGGGAACCACCTGTTGAGGATTACATTTCCATGACGTTGACTGAATTTAATCCTTATGTAGGTGATGAAATTAATTCCTTTCAAAATCAAGATGAACCAGAACAGTCATTTGACCCACCTGTGCAGTTTTAAAAATATTTTGAATAATGGAGACTGAGCTGAAACTCAGACTCTGAACAATGATTAGATAAATCTGTTATTGAAAAGGGTTTCTCTTTCCCCTTGAAGAGGAGGAGAAATTCTAATAAATCCCAGAGTGTTTGCATTCTGTTTTTATTTCATTGCTATGGCTGAGCTCCTTTGGTATGTTAAAATGAAAACTGCCTTTCCTGTGACAGTCATCATATGGTGCCTTCCTATTTTTGGATTACCAGCTCCATTTAAATTGTATGCTTTCCTGTGATGGTTGGTTTATTAACATGTAAAGCTAGTTATATTTTTGGCTATTTCTCCCTGAATAATTGCTCGATAGTATCTTCAGCCATGTGGTTAGTGATGTTATTAGGGCTGATTTGGGCCCTGATCATCACAGTTTTGGGGTTCATGCATGGAAAACACTTAGGAGAGATGAAATTTTTGGAGTTGTGAAGCTCATTTTTAAATTTGGAATCCTTTCCAAAGTAATATGACATGTGACTATACTTTAAAATAATTCAAAGTAACTTTTTAAGGATCTTTATTACTTTTATGATCAACTTTAAGATACTAGAGATACATTAGTGTAGTGTTTTTTTCAAAATGCGTCCACTGTATAAGAATCTCCTGGGGTGCTGATTAAATTGCAGGTTCCCGGGGCTCATCCCAGACCTACTGAATCCCAGGCATACAGGCATCCCAGGTGATTCTCATGATTTTGGCTCTTGAGACCCACTACACACAGATATTTCAACAGCAGTACTAAAATTCTGTAATCTCTACAGTGCTTCCAAACATCTGTGTTTTTTTAGCTTTTGAAGTCAGGTGACTTCTGATTTCATTATTCAGGTTCTATTTTGAATCTAGAACAGGCCTTCAAGTAACAGGGTTTTGTTACAGTGTTAGAAGAAGAAACAACTGGTTTAAGTTGTTTCAAGTCAAGGTTTCCAAGAACTTACTGACAACAGTAAGTGAGGTCTTACTAGAGTCTATGACTTTCATCTGCTGTCCTGTGTCTCTTTTTCCCTGTCTAGATGCAGGTCCATCATTGATGAAATCTGTTTTACATGCATCTTAATTGCCGAGCGTTATGTTAGGCACATTTGACACTCAGATATATACACAGAAAGCTGGACACATGCTGCCATCCAGAGCATCTTTGTTTTTCTCATGTTTCTCTGTACTGGCGTAAGTTTAAGTTGGTTCTCAGGAAGCTCTACAGAGTTGGTGAAACAGATTCTGCCTTTTGAGAGAGGATAATAATTGGCAACACTGACAAGGACAGACATAGAAAAGAAAATGTGGAAGTGCTGAAAGAAGCCTGTTCTGGGAATTGGAAGCTCTGAGTTTCAGACATAGTTCCACCACATAACTGAGTACCCTTGGTCAAGTCAGTTAAACTCTTGGAAGTGTCTGTTTTTTAAATCTGGAAAATCAGAACAATACTACCCATTCTATACATCTCTCCTGGGTTGAGAATCAAGCAGTGTAATATCTGTATATGCAAGCTCTTTGCTACTGCAATACTGCGTCACTACAAACTCAGGATTATTGGAAGCTACGTAAGCTCAGAATTGATACTCTTACATATTTATTTCATTCTTCACATGGAATTTGATCTCAGGACAGCTCATTGAGGTAAATAGGGCAGCATTTGCTATTTCTTTGAACAGGTGATGAGACAATGTTCAGAAAAGTTAGGTGACTTTTCAAATGCCATATAGTTTCTGATGAGGAGCTGGGACTAGCACTTCTTGATGTTTTATTTTCTTATCTTGAGAACTGACTTAATATACCCTGTTGGGGTTTATTTAGAGGTTGTTGGGTAATTGCGATAGGCAAGCCCTACTTAGTAGTAGAAACATTTTTAGCATGTTTGCTTTCCTCCAGTCTTTATATATCCTGCAGTTGTGTCCCCGTAGCACTTAGGTTTATTCAAGTTACGGAAAACGGAACATCTTTCCTCTTTTTCTTTGGCATTGCCATTATCATCAGTACCCTCCCTGAAGCATCCGATGTACTCAGTAAAATAAAACAATCCTCTTTCATCCCCTTTGTATTTTGTTGCTATATATGTAGCTTTTGTGATTTCTCTTAGTTGGGGGCAAAAATAAAGGTTCTGCCTCATACCTAAATTGATTTGGACCAAAGTATATGTAAAGCAAGAGCCTTATACCATTTTCTGTATTTTTCAAATACTTTCTTTAAAATTTCATTTAGGACAAAGTAGATGCTGGCTTGCCTACAGCAATTGTAAGTATACTTTAACTTTTTAAAGGTAAGCTTTTTATTTGATTGGGTTTTCTTAGATTTATTATTACATTGCTCAAAGTGTTACATAAATTATGATAATAAATTCATAAGTCATTTTACAGCCTGTAATCAGGTTTAACATTTGTCCATGTTGAATGCTTTCTTTTTTCCTAATATTTTGTTACTTTTTAGGCTTCTGTTTGAGAAGCAGATAATGGAGTAATGTTAGCCTTCTCCAGGTTTATTTGTTTGTGGTATCACCCTGCCCAGGTAAATTTGCTGCTTTCCTTCCACCAGGAGTGGAAAGCATCATTTGATAGAATCCCTTCGTGGTAAATAGTGCATTTAACAGCTCTGGATTCCATTACCAGGCTTGCCAACCAGAACTCCGTTGGAGTATTGTAGAGAACTGGTGTGTGTTGAAAGCACGCTGGTACTCTCTCTCGTCTTCCTCCAGTGCCTCTTGTAGCTTTCCCTTTAGTCATTTGGTGAGGAAGTGGGTGAGTTTTGAACATTTTGGATACCTGTTGACTCCTGTGGATAAACTAGAGAAGTGTGTTCTCACCTCTCCCCACACCTTGTAGGAAGCTCTTGGTTGAGCAGCATAAGTGCTTCTTACTTTGTCTGGACCCCTGATTTTTTAGTTGAAAGTTGCTTTAGAGGAAGCTGAGTGGCGTGTTATTGCCTGTAATGTTGAACATATGATATTTTGATAGTGTTACTCTTAGAGTAAATTTAGAGGGATTCTCAGAAATAAAATGTCCTGAGTTTCATTTCCTGTTTTGCCTCCTGGATGAAACTCTTATTTATAATAGTGTGTATGTCATCTGGAGCCTAGAGGAAGGAAGGCCAACAAATTCAACTCTGATTATTTCAAGATTCTTAATGTAATATCTTAAATGTCATCTTCCCTTTTGTTTTCAGGCAGTGTCCAGTCTGATAGCAGTGGGTACATCTCATGGATTGGCTTTAATATTTGGTAAATTTTCTAAGTGCTTTCCTGCTTTTAAATATTAAGTGTCCTTTGGGTTTTATAATGTTCTTTAATCACAGTTTATATAGTGCACTTTATTTTCTTGAACAAAACCAGAAAAACTTGAAAAGTAGCAGTCAATTTTTTTTTTTTCGAGATAGAGCCTTGCTCTGTAGCCAGGCTGGAGTGTGATGGTGCAATCTCGGCTCACTGCAGCCTCTGACTACCTGGTTCCAGCGATTCTCCTGCCATAGCCTCCCAAGTAGCTGGGATTACAGGCATGTGCCACCACACCAGCTGACTTTTTGTATTTTTAGTAGAGACGGGGTTTCACCGTGTTGGCCAGGCTGGTCTCGAACTCCTGACCTGATGATCTGCCTGCCTCGGCCTCCCAAAGTGCTGGGATTACAGGCATGAGCCACTGCACCCAGCCTAGTATTTTTATAGCTAACGGTTATTTGACTCACAGCTTTGTTTTGCTGCTTATTGCAAGTTTATTTTCTTCTTCATGAATTTATAAGCTGTCACAGCTATTGACTCTCTGCAAACCTAGACAAAAAGAATAAAGTTGGAAGGAACCTGGGGTTCTCATCCCATCTGCCTCCAGTTGGTGGTGGCGGGGATTTTTGATTTCTGATTCTGAATCATGTTTTAATAGTGGGTATTCTAAAAGATCTTCAGGAAAACAGCTTCCCCAGGCTTTCTCAGTAATTTCAGGAGCTCTCACTGACAATGAGCTCTTTTTTATTTCCATTGTAAATTGCTCTAAACTGACAATTTTTTTGGCCTGAAATCACATTGCTTTCTTGGCTGAAAAGAGAGCTGGTTTTATTTGTATAGTAGAAGATAGTTGTATTTTCTCATTTTTTTTCTACCTGAGACTAAATAACTGTAGTTTCATTAAACCTTCTTTGCTTTTGAATTTGATATATGAGTGGAATATTTTGTTCTTTTTTTTTTAATTTAAAAACTTAGATTGTTGAGGCTGGGCGCAGTGGCTCATGTGCTTAATTCCAGCACCTTGAGATGCCAAGACAGGGGGATCACCTGAGGTCAGGAGCACGAGACCAGTCTGGACAACATAGTGAAATCCCATCTCTACTGAAAAAAAAGAAAGTACAAAAAATTAACTGGGTGTGGTGGCAGGCGCCTGTAATCTCAGGTACTTGGGAGGCTGAGGCAGGAGAATTGCTTGAACAGGGAAGGTGGAGGTTGCAGTGAGCTGAGATGGCGCCATGCACTCCAGCCTGGGTGACAGAGCAAGACGCTGTCTCAAATAAAGAAATAAATAAATAATAAAAAATAAAATTTTTTGAGACAGTGTCTCACTCTGTCACCAATAAATAAATAAATAAAAATTAAAAATGAAAAGCAATTCGTTTTTTTGGGAGGGTCATTTTTAGTGTTCTCTTCTGGATATTAAGAAAATGGAAGTCCTGATGACACTGTTTTTAGTAAGGAATCTACGGAATATTTTATAAGGATTACCTGAGAATACTTCATAGCAGAACCACAGTTTGATTTCTGTGGGGCCTCGCATCCTTGTTTACCATATGAATGGAAAACTAGTTATTTTCTGTTGGTTTTGAATGATCTGACTTACTATTATAACTTTTGTATTATGACAAAAGCTTTATTTAAAATGTAATTGTAAAATGTAGTCCTTTCAAAGGTAATTGATTTAAATAATAGAGTTTTATTGTTTGGGGACCAGAGGAGTAGAAACAAAATTATAATTATTTTGAAAGAACTTAGAATTGATTGAAAAAGACTTTTAAAAACCTCTATAGTTGACATATATTCATAGTAGAAAATTCAGAAAACATAGATGAGCGAAAAGTCGAAGATACACCAAGTTCTACCATCCAGGACTAATCCTAACATTTCTGTATGTAACCTTAGTATTTTTTCTGTACCTGTATATGTGTATGTATACATCCTCAAATGGGATCATGTTAATTTTAACCTGCTTTTCATTATCATGAATATATTTTCACCAATTATGTATTTTGTCTGACATCATTTTTAATGTCTACATAGGATCCTTTTAAATGGATTCTTCCTAATTTCGTCTCTTCCTACTATAAGACATTTAAATTGTTTGTAAACATACGGTAGTGTGATGAACGTTTTTGTTACTACATCTCTGTGTACATGATTACTTTTTTAGGACAGGTATTCCTAAAAGTGGAATTGCTTGGATCAGAAGATGAACATGAAGGACTTTTGATATGTATTATCTAATGGCCCTCTAGAAAAGTTTCTGTCATCAGGTGTTCAGAATGGTGGTCTTCCTGTGGGGCATAATTAATATTAGATAAACAGAATTTTGGAAAAGAATCCTCTGGGGTCATTTAGTTCAGTCTCCTTATTTTACATCTGAGGCTATTGAGGACCAGAGAGGTTAAGTGAGATGCACAGAGCCAAGTTCAGCCAAGTTCATGGAGGAATGCTGAATCCTAGATAAGTGTATTTTACTGTTCCAAGCAATGCTGCTATCCTGAGAGAAAAGAAGGCACATTCTAAGATAGGAAGAAAGGAATACAAGAGCTAAGGTGAATGAGAATAGGCTCTAATGCATGTACCTGTCAGCAGATTGCATGTTGATTTTTTGTTCCACTTAGCGGTACTCACTTCTCCTCGTCTCTCTGCTTTAACATTCCTTTCTTGTCAGTGTTACGAGAATGTGTGACTGCTTACAATCAAACCCATGTATAGCCTACTGCAAGCAATTTAAAAACATGAATACAAACAAAAACTAACAGAGGAAAAGAGAACATTGTCGTTTGATACTGTCTTTTTAATTTCCTCGGGCCTGGTTTCGTATTTTTTTGTTTTTTAAAACCCCAGCAGCTTTCTTGTAGATATGAGGAAATAGTAATCTTTCATTACAGCCTCATGGAAAAGAAAGTATGCCAAAGTGAACATTTTGAGAAAGAATCATAATATTCCAGTTGTGCTTTGGGTATTAATAGTGTGGTTAATAAACTTGACTCATTACTGTTTATAGGAATCAGATGTTTGGGCAACGTTTTAGCAAATGGATTGCACTATGCTTGAAAGCCTAGGAACCGATGGCAGAGTAATAATACTATAGAGTGTCTAGAGGCCTGGGTTAGATCTCATCTCTGTTAAACGTCTGTGTTGATCATAGGAGAAAGCGTAGCAGGAAGAACTATACTTGTTTAAGTACTAAATGTTCCGCTTTGAAGCAGAGGCCCCGGTTATTAAGATAGAAATCATTGTAAGTTTCTTAAAGACTGATGTTTATTGCCTATTCTTAAGTAATTATGGGCATGTAGCATTTAAAAAACGTATTGGTACTTACCTTTTACAGAGTCTCAAAAGTTCAAATCTTAATAAAGATCCCCAGGTCCTTGGTTTCCCTTTTTTTTTTTTTTTTTTTGGTTGTTAATGTACTTTAGTAGACTATCTTTTTGAAATTTCTTTTTATTCTCACTTAAACATGGATTTACTTACTTTGCTATAATGAGAGTACTATGCGTTTTTCTTACAATGTAGCTGAACGTAATAAATGCTAGAGACATTACTTCATCACGTTCACTATCATTCCCACAGATAACTGAAGCTTGTCACTGATATTCTTGAATTTTTTTACCTGCCTTTTCTCTGAATTTGTGAACTGATTTCTTGCTTTTCTTTCTCTCTCTTGATCTTTTCTTCATGGATTCAAAAGGAAAAGGTATAGTAAGTAATCCTAGCTTGCATGAATGGCTTCTTTTCTTTTGGCCTTTTTAATGTTGGAAGGGAATGCTACCAGTTACAGTCAGTGCCCTCTTATGAGACACTTATTGCAAAAACTGTAGCTAATTGAAAAATTAGATAAGAGGGAATTGTGGAGATCCATACGTATAAACACACCTTCAATGTTTTAACTGAAAATACATATGTTTTCATTTCTCCTCTGATCTTTTGATGCAATCCCAAACTTTTTTCTTTGAGTTTGTATTTGCCACTTGGAGTCCTGAAGTATCTTTTTTGGCATACACTTTATCAATAATGTCATGTAAAATTTGCAGTTTTAATTTGAATAGAGGGAAAAGCTTAAGCACCTGTGAATCAGTCAATTTGTGTAAAATCCTAGATTTTAGCAAAACTTTCCATCTTTTACTGTTATCTTGTGAACACCTTATTTTGTAACAGTTTTGTAAAGGAACTTATCTTTACCAAGTTCTTTTTAAAAATCATCCAATTAATGTTTGTGGAAACAACAGCTCTTTCTTTTTCACTCTTTTGCATTAGTTTATTTGCTGTTTAAGTTTTAAAGTACAGTAATATTACAGTGGCATGAACAGGCTTAGGAATGAATACAGCTGACTCAGAATAAGTATCAGCATTCTGGAAGATATGCAACTAGCCATGGGGATTCAGTTTGCCCTGGTTTCAGTCGGTAAGCCTTACAGAGGAACGGAGAACTTGAATTCTGTGAGTTGGTTTGATGGAGGTCAGGTAAAATGCTTCTGTAGTTTTTATGATCATCAAAGAAAAAATGTTTCCTGATTAGATCTTTTCTCCCTTGGTCCTAGAGAATATTTTCGTGTGAATAAAGGATAAGAAAAGGCTGGATGTGGTGGTTCATGCCTGTAATCCCAGCACTTTGGGAGGCCAAGGTTGGGGGGGATCACTTAAGGTCAAGAGTTCAAGACCAGTTTGACCAACTTGGTGAAACCCGTTTCTACTCAAAATACAAAAATTAGGCGAGTGTGGTAGTGGGCGCCTGTAATCCCACTACTTGGGAGGTTGAAGCAGGAGAATTGTTTGAACTCAGGAGGTAGAGGCTGCAGTGAGCTGAAACTGCACCATTGCACTCCAGCCTGGGTGGCAGAGTGATACTCTGTCTCAAAAAAAAAAGGATAAGAAAAGAGTAGTATTAAAGAATAGTGAACATTGGCCAATAATGGTAGAGCTCTACACACACAATTAAATTTGATTCCTCTTAGGATCTAAGTATTTCCTTCTTTTGATAGTCTTTGGGAACTAATGAAAACAAATTGGGGGTAAAGAAATTGAGGGTTGGGCTAATTTTGCAGTATGGAAAGAGTTAACAGAAATTCTTGAAGTATGTTCAAATTTAGATTTTAGGTCTGTTACAGACTTTGTACATTATTTGTGACTTTTCTTTGCTATTCAGCATATTATTCTTAGGTCCAGGATATGCCAAGGAGATCTATTGCAAGCAAAGTGTATTTTGAAAGACATACTAATAAAAGCTACAGATGTAATTCAGGGCAATGTCAAATAGATGTGCTGTTTGTGATATTTGGTCTTCAAGTTATCCAAATTGGTTGCTAAGCTATATTATTGTTGTAAACAATAATTCCTTGCATTTGTGCCATTTAAGAATTTTCTAATTTTTCATACACAAAACTCTATGTCAACTCAGTGAAGTTTATAAGAAAGGTGTTAGTCTCATTTCATATTTCTTGCCAGGGTAACAGTTATTAAGACCCACTGCAATTTTTTTAAAACACAAATTTAACAGTACTAACCAAATATACTTTAATGTGAGTCTGTAGATGAAATTAGATACACTCTTAATAACTTCCTCCAACTGTAGACAAAGGAGACTTCAGAGAGTAGGGGAAGAAGAGAATTTTTCCTTTTAAATTTAATGGCATTGAGAGTAACCTGGAGTGGGTCTCATTTTCACCTTTCTTCTGTTCAGGTCATTTTGTTCTTTACATGTATCCATGAAATGTAAGTGTTTTGAAGAGGCTTTATGTTTATTTTAGTCAAATATTGCTTTCCAGAATTGACCAGAATTATCTGGACTACAGAATATTTAGCTGCTCTAGCAGGAGAAACCTCTTCAATAAGACTGCTTTCTTCTTTCCACAGAAATTCTGCCTTTTCTGACTTAGTCTAAAGTCTGTAACTTCAAGCTTGTTAACATGGTACTATAAGGCTGGAATGTATGAAGATAGCAATGAGAGTTGATAAATATCTTTATGGAGTCAAAGTAGATTACATTTGTGACACTGCCCATCCCTTCTCTCACCACCACTGCTGTCTTTTTTAGACGTGTATATGAATGTAATGTGTAAATTAGTTTGTGATGAGCACTTAATACTATTCAAGGGACACTGAATTGGTTTCTTTGTGCATTATGTTACTTTACTCATTTATTCCTTCAGCAACACCGTGAGATAATGGGCATTTTCTGTATTTTACAGATGAAGATAGGGAGGCTAAGTGAACTGAAGTGTAACATTCCTAAAATTACCAAGACGTGCTGCAGTTTTAAGGCTTGTAACTATCTGTGGGGTAGGGGTGGAATTAAAGTCGAAGTATCTGGTTTCATAGTCATGATGCCTTCTGAAGGGACCCTATATAAACAACAATACATTGTGAAAATCAAGAAAAAAGTTGAGAATGTTTCCATGAACAGATTTATGAGGTATATAGATGTAATACCTATTTCAGGAATGGCTGAGGTTGATAATTTGCTTCCCTGTCTTAGCTAGTTGGTGGTGTGTGGGGACAGCGGTCAGGAAAGCACAGTCGTGTCTGATTTTGAATCTGGAAGCGGGTTATGCCCTTTTCCTTTCCTCGTTTCATCGGTTGCCCCTCTTTGTGCTTCCTCTTCAAGGTACCCTTGTTCTCTCTCTTATCATACTTCTCAGTTCCGCTCCTACTTCCTGTGCCTGAAATAGTCTAAAGTATGAGCTTTGTTAAAATAGAAAGTGGTAGTGAGAGTCTTTAAGTATCGGTGAATCGGACTCTGTGAAGTTTGGTTGTCAAAGCAGAGACTACAAAGGATCCCAGCAGTATGCTGCTTAGACATGGCTCTGCCTGGAAGGCAAGCAGTCCGAACTCCAGGCTGTGAGATTCATGCCAGCCTCTGTCTTTGTCCTCTTACTTTCTGTCCATCTGTTACCTATCCGTGTGACCCAGGGTAGAGGTACATAAGGAGTACTACTGCCCAACCATCATATCATGACAGTTTGCAAAGTAAGGTGTGTGGATGAGAATCCGCTGATTACTCGGGGTGGCCCTGATGAAATAAGGATTGTGGAAAGCATTATTTTAAGTAGGTAGTTTTGGAAGAGCAAAATAAAATGTGATGTCATATTTAGTCAGGAAAATTATAGAATAAAGGAAAATTTTATAATTTCGATTAAATTGAAAAAATTGAGGGTGGGGACAACAGGATGTATTGAAAAATATCTGTTGTAAAATTCTAGAAGTGAAGAAAGACAGTGACTTTAAAATACATCAGACCTTGTATATTTATGAGTTTTATTTCTTTTCAATCTTTGCCTTGGAAGACTAAAATCCAAAATGATTGAAAAAAATCGAGTATTTTCTATAGTTACACTTACTGTTTCAGAACTCTTTTTTGGGAAGGAGGGAATTACTATTTGAGCCAGTTTATGAGTGTGGAAAAATACTCCTACAGTATTCACTCCGAATGGGCAAAAGAACTGACCTAATACTGTTCCCTAGACCTGAGAATAAATGACTGATAACTAGATTTACTCTTACAGAAGGAGGATTGGCAAATGCGAAAGCTATTCAGATGATTGTCAGATGCCTTCTAAGCGCAAGGCATCAAGCAAGGTACTTTGGGAGTGTTAGTTCACTCGTGATCTTCGCCCTCAGAGAGGCCATAGTCAAACAGGGAAAGTGACACATACCCCAAAATTCCCATGTAGGTAATTAAGGGAGGCACAAACAATGCCAGGGAAGTTGGGAAGACTTCAGGTTGTGGAAATATGATTTTTTCTGCTTTATTCTAAACAGTTAAGTTTTGTAGGCATGCCTTCTTTTAAATATTTAATTTCATTGTTTTCAAGTGGATATAATAATGAACTCTAGACAAAATAAGTATTGCCTAGGAGAAACCCTAGAGAAATTTCTTTTAATTATTAGATAACAGAATTTAATAAATATTTGAGTGCCTCCTGGAAAAATCAGAGGTGATTAAGTCAAGATTCTTGCCCTTAACAAACTTAATCTAATAGATATTTGAATTGTTTGCTTTTAGCATATCAATTTTTTTTTTTTTTTGAGATAAGAGTCTTGTTCTGTCACCCAGGCTGGAATGCAGTGACACAATCTCATTTCATTGCAACCTTCGCCTCCTGGGTTCAAGCAGTTCTCCTGCCTCAGCCTCCCAAGTAGCTGGGATTACAGGCACCCACTACCACACTCAGCTGATTTTTTTATATTTTTAGTGGAGACACAGTTTCACCATGTTGGCCAGGCTGGTCTCGAAAACTGACCTCAAGTGACCCTTTCACCTCGGCCTCTCAAAGTGCAGGGATTACAGTCTTGAGCCACATGCCCAGTCACTTTTAGCATAATTTTGATGTTTGAAATGATTTTTTGAAGTTGTTTGTTTACTCTGTAATTTGCACTGTTAATTTGCTTAGTAAATTTTCTTTATGGATAAGATACATGTAAATTTCAGCCAAATTCCAAATTAATGTTTTTGAGTTTTGAAGTTTTATAGTAATTTTTCCTTTTTTTTAAATGGACGATAGGTTTCAATGCTGCCCAGGCTGGCCCCAAATGCGTAGCTTCGCCTCCTGAAGTGCCAGGATGACTGGCCTGAGCCATTGCGGCTCCCAAAGTTTTATAGTTATTTTAAAAGACAATAGTATTCCCTATAACTGTGCATCTTGAAAATAGCCAGAAATACAATTCTAGGATGAGACACAGATTTCATGTGGATTTTTTGGCTTATAATTAGCATTTTATGTTATGTTTCCTTGTAGATCTTTTTTTCTTTCTTTCTTTCTTTTTTTTTTTTTGAGGCTGAGTCTCACTCTGTTTCCCAAGCTGGAGTGCAGTAGCGTGAACTCAGCTCACTGCAACCTCCCCCTCCTTCGTTCAGGTCATTCTCATGCCTCAGCCTCTCGAGTAGCTAGGACTACAGGCATGAGCCACCACTCCTGGCTAGTTTTTATATTTTTAGTAGAGACGGGGTTTCACCATATTGGCCAGGCTGGTCTCAAATTCCTGACCTCAGGTGATCCACCCATCTTAGCCTTCCAAAGTGCTGGGATTACAGGTGTGAGCCACCATGCCGGGTCTTTTTTTCTGTATTTTCAAGTGTCTGATTCAATGTCCAGCATCTGCTAATTGCTTAATAAGTATATTTAAAAATGAATGTGACTTCATTGTCTGCTGCTTTTGATTCTTGTCACCTCCCAAGTCTGAAAGCATGCGTGTACTAGTGTGTTCATTCTCTCCCATTTCTTTCACTTGACTTTGAAAACTGCTTTCTTCAGATCAGAATCAAGCTTTGCGACTCTGTCTGGGTAGCACTAGTGTTGGAGGTCAGTATGGCGCCATCTCTGCCCTCAGTATCAACAATGATTGCTCAAGACTTCTCTGTGGCTTTGCTAAAGGACAGGTAAGATAGGAACTTTCTTTAATTCATAAGACAAAGTTAAAATAAGATCAATTAAAAAAACTAATGTCTTTAGATCAATATTTCAAAGACCAAAATAAGTGTTATGAAGTAATGTGTTTGTAGAGCTGTCCAGAGATTGCTGAGTCTGATTTTTGTCTTGTTCAAAATTTTACGTGATTGTTGTCGACTGACCCAGAGTCTGTAATTTTTTACTCCTAGTTCATGTGTCTACTTGAGTAAATAATTTTGGTAAACCCACCAGGGGTGTTATATAAAATGTACTTCCGTACAGTCTGGAAATAACTGAGGCTGCTTTTTAGAAAGATTATGTGTTCCTGGATAACTGTTTTTGCTTTCTACTTCTGAAACTGGCAGTAGGGTATGGTTTTTTCGTCTTCTGATTTACACATCACTAGCCGGTTTGGCAGTAAGCCCTTCTTACACTTTTTACCTGTGCTAAACAGATTGGCCTATTAGAGAAATATCTTTTATCTCTCAATATGAGAACAACATTTAAAATCTAAAGAGAAAAGTGCACTGGGTAGGATGAGGAGTAAATGAAGATCGAGTAAAGCTCCACGCTTTAATGGATCTGCAGCCTTTAGGTATGTTTTAACTTTACAGTTCTTTGCCTGCAGTGTTTGTTGCCCAGGAATAGGTTATTTCAGCCAGAAGGCAGGATACTTAAGTCTAAAAAAGAGCAATAAATTTGTTTTTAAAGCACTTGGTTGTCTTATAGGTCACCATGTGGGATTTGGCCAGTGGAAAACTTCTAAGATCAATAACAGATGCTCATCCTCCAGGAACAGCAATATTGCATATCAAGGTAATAACTTTGTTTTCTTTTTCTAATAATTTTGGTTATTATGCCTTTGTGTTTCTTTTAGAGTAAATTTCTCTATATTGATAATCAGAGTCCAAAAAATGTATTTAACATGAAGCTGACCATTACCTCATAAATAGAATCCTTAACATAGAGCTGTCTTATATTTGACTAGTCCAGCGTGATGTTTTTCCAGGTTAAAACCAGAGATGGGCTAGTATGGAAATACTCAGCTTCAGGTTGTATTGAAGTCTAATCGATGTAATGGCAAGAAGGGCAAATTGATGTGATCCTAGACTGGAGTTGGCAGTAAAGATGGGCAGCGCCCTGCTGAAGCCCATACGGAGCTCTTTAAAGGTCTTTTTACCTTTGTTTAGTTCACAGAGTTTCATTGCTGAGGTGGTGTGCTCTGTCACTCTTTTCTGGGAGTTGCCTGACGTTCAAGACACAGATCATGAAAGAAGCAAGGCTCGGATTATGTTTAGAAATGAATCTATTGGTTTATTTTCTTGCAGGCCTCTAAAGGGAAAGCCTTAAGATCCTAGTCTTGGCTTTCTCCTTACAGGCCTGAAAAAATAAACTGACTTAGGTAACAGATTTCATTTATAAATACAGTGTGAACGGTTGATTCTTCCATGCTGTCAAGCTCATGTTCAGAAGCATAAAAGGTAAAGGATTATAACTAGAGAAGTCTAAAATCAGATCTTCTAGATTTTAATCACGTACACATTTTGTTGCTTAGCTCTGCAGAGCTCTCTCATCCATAAGTATGCTTTTTAAGGTCTGCAGGCATCTGGCGTTTGTATGTCTGTTTCTAGGTTAGTTACAAAAACGTCTTCTGTGACAAAGCAGTGTGGAAGCATTTAGTAACAATGAAAACAACCCAGACAAGTCAGAGTGCAGAGAATTCCTCCTCTTGCAGACATCATGGTAATATATCTTGACCGCTTTTCATATGGCTTGTGCCAACTTCTAATGTTATAGTTGTTTGTAATAGGTCTTATCTCTCTTAGATGAACATCTTTGAAATCAGAATCTGTTTGTCATTTATTTTTGTGTTTTACCATAGTAGCTGCTCAATAAATATTTGATTGAATGAAAAACTAGATGGTGGTGTTTATAAAAGGACAATCCTTTTGCAGAAAAAATAATATTGGGAGAAAGAACAAGAAATAGAAGAGATACAGGCAGAGAGAAAAGAGAAGAATTCAGTTGAGATAAATAGCATGTAGTAGGAGCCATTGTGTGGCTTGGTGATAGTGCATGCAGAAAATGACACTGGAGTAAGATACATAGGATTGACTGTTTCTGAAGTCTTCTGCTGGCGTCAGCCACTTGCAATTTAATGCTCCTGCACATTGTTGTCCAAACCTAGCGCTGTATTTCATCAGTAACAATTTGGAATTTCAGCCTTTATAGGTATTTGTGTGTGTGTGTGTGTGTGCACGCGTGTGCATGCGTGTGTGTGTATTTATATGAATGCACTACTGTACCAATTTTTATGTATGTTAAAAAGCACGTATCCAAGAAATAGAAAATTAAACAGAAATACAAGTTCTGTTATTTTTCCTGCACTCCAGTGGACCATTTTATGCACACCCCTAGGGTATATGTTTCCCACTCTGGCAGCTGCTCATCTAGGCTGTAAGAGCAAAGTTGTGGGGCTTCTTAACTATGCCTGCGTTCGGATCAAGGAAGAATAATTTTACAGTGGCCGCCGGGACCTCAGCCATCCCTGACTGAGAACCTGAGGCATGCCATTTTGGATGGCTCACTCACCTTTGAGTTGAGGAGGATAGTCACTGAAAATGGTACAAGTTCAGTTTATTCTAGTTTGTGTCCTGCAGCATCGACCATACTTTAGGTCACCTTAGGACTGTCTGTCGTGGTGAACATTATTTATTAATTATTCTAGGTTTTCTAAGGTAGGTAGTGATAAATGAAGTATATGCTATGGAAGAAGATCAAGGAGGTAGCACGTTTTCGGAAGAGTTATACGGAAAGTGAAAATGTTTTAGATATAGGGGACTTACTTTTCAGTTATTCAGAAGACATACTCAGATAAGTGTATTTTTCAAAGACACCAAATACCTTTTAAGTCTTTATTCTTGAAAACTGGGCAGATGTAAATGCATCCAAAGATCTCATTTACTTAATAATAGCAAGTTACAAAAAGTTAATTTAAGAACCCAAGTAGAGAACTTTAGGGTTTTTATCAATCTTAGTTTGTATTTTTCTTTTATCGTGATGAATGATGGTTTTGCTTTTTGAAAGCCTCTGTTTTTTTTTAAAGATATTGGACCATTCTTACTCTAGATAAAGGTAAGTTTGTATGTTTACAGTGATGAGCACCGAATCTAGTTTAGGTTATTTCAAAAGCTATTAAATGTGTACAGTGTAGTTTCTCAAAGTTGTATAATTTTTTCCTTCTTAATACTTGACTGTTTACAAATCTACAGGCAAATAAATTCCTTCTCTGTTTAGTTTACAGATGATCCAACTCTCGCAATTTGCAATGACAGCGGAGGCTCTGTTTTTGAATTGACATTTAAGTAAGAGACTAATGGACATTTGTTGACCAATGACAAGACTAGCTCTGGTTTTAATGATTTGAAATTGAACATGAAGAGGTCTAGAAAGCCCACGTAACTGAGAGTAGATTATGACTGTGTATTACAATTACCCGGGAAGGCTTGTATTAATAGAACAGTGTTCCGGGGCTGGTCCTCCAAAGTTTTATCTCAGTAGGGTTTAGTTGGGATTCTAGACTCTTACTCCCCAGGAGATTCTTACGTGCTATCAAGCTTGGGACCACTGTTCTGCAGTAGCTCACTAATTTTGGTTTAGGCTTAAGGCCCAGTTGATTATAATCATAGTTGGCAGGTGTAAACAGGTTCTTATTATCTTAGAATTGCCATGTTTACTCTTTAAGAGCAAAGACTGTCTAGATACATCAAAGAACATTTAGGAAGCAGAGGTTTTGAAAAGTAGAACATAATATTTATGGTGTATTATGCTTCCATAAGTTCGTCAAGGTTGACTGTCTTTGCTTCTTGTGTTTCTCAGCAATGCTAAGCACAAAGTAATTGCTGAAAAAAACATACTTCGTATTCGGTTAATGTTTACCGAGCATCTCCTATGTGTAGGTATTTAGACCCCAGAGTTACAGCTGTGAACCAAGCAAAGTTTCTGCTCTAGTAGAAGTTACATTCTAGTTGTGGTAACAGTAAGGAAACAGTAAACCAGCACGTAAATGAAACCACTTCAGTTGGGTGTAAGTGCGGTGAAGAAAACAAGACAGGGTATTGTGCTAGATTGCACCTGAGGATGATTCTGGACTGGCTTTCTCAGGAGGGGCAACATCTGGAAAAATGCCCGAATAGTGGCCAGTCAGCAGATGGCGCAGATCCGAGGAAAATATTCCAGGCCGAGAACATTCAGACACAGTGGCTTTGAGATGGCCACATACTTGGCCTGCTGGAGCAATGGAAGAAAGCAGGCATGGCTGGAGGTGTGACTTTGTCAGGGACACAATAGTGGGAGAGCAGTGAAGGGAGGAGCCAGATCATATCCTTTTAAGGCATAGGAAAGAGTTTGGCCTTTATTTTATGTTCAGGAGCAAGCCGGTGGAAAGTTTTTGGCAGAAGCGTAGATAGATCTGACCTTTGGAATAAAGAGATCATGCTGCTGTCCTGTGGAGCTTGGATTGTTGGGGTTGAGAAAGGGAGTAGGAGGCTGTTCCAGGAGTCCCAGCCAGAGACAGCAGTGCCTGCATCACTGCTGGGTTGATTCTGAATTTTCCAATTACGTTTTCAGGAGAGTGATGGGAGTGAGAACATGTGAATCTAGGTGTCTCTTCAGTGGTTCTAAGGGTGAAGTCTGCTGTATTGAGCCTCTGCATTCTAAGCCTGAGTTGAAAGATCATCCCATCACACAGTTTTCATTATTGGCCATGGCATCCTTAACAAAAGTAAGTGTATTTAGAAGTTAAACCTCAGAACTTTTAGAAGCTTTGAATACCATATATGTGAAAATTACAAGGTCAGTATTGAAAACGTATTTTTCTCTTAAAGATACTGGTCATTGGATTGAAACCATCCTTGAAAGTGTGGATGACTTTTCCCTATGGCCGGGTGAGTAAGTCTCTCTATCTGATTGGCAAAAGGAAGGACCATGTCAGGAGGTTGAGAGAAATGACTTGCAAGGGGTGAATTCTGTGAGATTGTCAGAAAACTAGACAGGATGAAAGTCAGTGCTCCAGAAAATGTTGGCTGGACTTGCCTTAAGATGACCAGAGAATCTTAAGCTGCTGACCAGCACAGTGTCGTAGGGATCGTGAATCTTGTACTTTTCTACCTTTATTGCTTTAAGCTTTTCACTCTTAGATGGCATACAGTTGGCTTTTGTTCTTGACAGTCTCAACTTGACAGTCTCTGTATATTGCTGTCCTGGCACTCTGTGGTCACACCTGACTTCATGCATGGATTTTCCTAGACTCATTCAGTGCCCTTCTGAGTGCAGTAAAATTCCCTTATCGGATTTAAAGCTGAAGGATAAGTTGATTTATTGAGTCCAAGCCCTGATTTTCAGTGTTTGAAAGATACTTGCTTTTACATGGCTGCTGTGCTGAGACAGGCTTAAACTCACTGTCTTCAGCTTTGGTGCTCAACCATTGATAGAGTAGATCCACTGTAATATGCGTTGTAGATTGCTGCTACGCGTGCTTTCCCTGGAGGTATTTTACTTCTGGGGATGATACTTCCTAGCATGTGTTATTCACATCCCAGTTTCCCCTTTCCTTTCTTCTTGGTTGTTTTCAGAGTTGTGATCTTCCATTGTATGTATGAGGAGAGATATTGACAGGATGGGATGGAGAATGGTGGTACAGGATGCTGGCTTGTGCAGAAAGCATCCCCTGTAGTGAAGGAGCTCACTTTTGTTTTCTTGTTGGTACCCTGTGCATCTCTGGCCCCTAGGGGAAGCAGGTCTATCCTTTCAGATGGCAAAACTGGCTTAGATTGCCGTTAACATTCCTTAGATTAGCTTCATTGGTGCATTGAGATTTTTTTTTCATGGTGGTATGTGTTTGCTTCTTTTTGTATGGGTTTTTTTGGTATTTTTTCAACATTTTATTATAAACATTTTCAAATAAAGTTGAAAGCATTTTGCATTGAATACTTGTCTATCTACCATCTAAATTCTGTAATTAACATTTACTGCCCTTTATTACATATCTGTCCTTCCACCCATCCCTCTGTCCATCTATCAAATTATATTTTTTATGTATTTCAAAAGAAATTGCAGAAACCAGTATTCTTTCTCCTAAATATTTAGAATGCATATTATTAGTTAGAGTTGAATCCTTATTTAGGTTTTTTCTTTGGTGTAGAATATACATACAAAGAAATGCACAGATCTTGAGTGCACATTTCCTGAGCTTTGACAAATACTTAACACTTTTGTAGCCCAAATTCCTATCAAGATGTAGAATATTACCATCAGTCTAGAAAGTTCCCCCATGACACTTCCCAGTTAGTTGTTGCTGTAACTGAGAAATTGGGGAAAGTTTTGATCAAGGAACATTAGTGAGATGCTGTTTTGAACCATGGTTTTCTCCTTGTCCCCTTGTTTATTAACTGCGATGATTTTTTTTTTCTTCTCCCTACTTAGATGGACCCTTCCAGTGTGCCATTGCTGGCCTGGCACTTTGTAGCAGTACATAATTATGTGAATCCAATGCTCGCCTTCTGCAGAGGAGATGTTGTTCATTTTCTGTTGGTAAGTCCTAATATGATGCTAGGTCCATTATAAAGCCCCTTATAATTCTTTTTATTCATCAGTAATTTAATAATGTGTCAAATAAATTTGTCTTTCATAAGTCTTTGGAGAGAGAGTGACCGATTTCATTTTTATCTAAGGCTTTATTGATTAGCATGGGAAAAAGGTGATCACGCTCGGCTCCATAACCTCTCATGGTTTATTTCCCAGCTCCATTTCTTTGACAAATAATTACTGGTGTATGTAAATATATAAAGATATGAACTTGCATATGTATGTATAATGACGTGTGTGTAGTTAGAGAGCAAGTATCACTGAGCACCGACTGTGTTCTCTCCACTGTGATGGGCACAAGCAGCAGTGGAAAGAAGAAAGTATACAACATAATTTCATCGTTCACGCAGCTTATAATCTTGTTTGAAAAGCAAAATCAGTATGTTCATGATTACTACAGAAAACAGTTTAAGGATTGAACTATGTGAGGCAAATTGAGTTGATGTAAATTAGGAGTACAGAGTAATTGGTATGGACTAGAGAGGCTATTGGTGGCTTTATGAGGGATATACTGCAACTACTGCAGGAAGGGTGGGTATGCATATGGGGGAAATGAGAAATCTGCCATAGCTTCCTAGCTGGTCTTTGGCCTCAGTGCCTTTTACATATACTGTTGCATCTGCCAGGAAAGTTCTGTGCTATCTTCCATTGTCTCTTAGCTCGTGATGAACATGGCCTTCCCTGACCTTCTGAACTAGGTTAGTTACATATGTCTTTTGATAACATTCAGCACTTACAAAAAAGAGAGACGAGGTCTTGCAGATCTCGAACTGAGACCCAGGCTGACTCTCAAACTCCTGGCCTCAAGCAATCCTCCCGCCTCGGCCTCCAAATGTTGGGGTGAGCAACTGTGCTTGGCCACATTCAGCACTTCTTAAATTACTTATGTTTTTCTTCCTCACTAGACAGGAAGCTCCTTACCTCCAGAGACCAACTTTACTGTTACATTTCCAGCCAGTAGGACAGTGCTTTTATATTGTAAATGTTTAATAAATGTTTATAGAATTAATGACAGGGAGAAACCTGTGTTGGAAAATGTAATTGAATATATGGGGAGGATTGATAGTAGGGGTTGGCGAACTGTGGCCTATGGGCCAAATCTGGCCTGTCTTCTGTTTTTGTAAATAAAGTTTTATTAGAACATCCCCTGATGCAGCATTTGAGAGTACCACCTTCACTTTCAACTCAACAGATTGAAATATTCCTTAATCATTTTCTCCCCAATCAGTCTCTCTTCAAATATTTCTTGATTCTAAAATGCAAAGTAAGAAATGGGAAGTTTCATTCATGTCCTTCGGTCTCTAGATCCACTATGATGAGAAGGCTTGATTTTCCTTGAAAGTATCATCCCTTAACTCTCACTTCAACCAGCCGTCCTTGTCTAAACACCTTACGCCTGCTTTAGTATAAGAGAAAAACCTTTAATTTTTCTCCTGCCTTCTGCATGTGTTCTTTTTTCTACTTCTAGACTGAGCTTCTTAAAATGTCACTTTAATCACATCTCTATGACTTTGATTAATTAGGAACCTGTGATGACTCCATTACCAGTCTAGGCCAGTCATTATTAATCTAGATTGGGGTTACCAAGCTTTTTGTGTACAGGGCCACACAGTAAATATTTTAGGGTCTGTGGACCATATGTTCTCAGGAAACAGAGAGAGAGAGTAGGTGACTGCCCTTAGTCACATGGATATAATAGTGGAACTTAGAATTAAATAGATTTCTCTACATCCATGTTCGTTTTACTGGAGCATCCTTTCCTAAGGGAGAAGTGATTTAGTGAAGCGAAGGTGGGTCCACGTGAAGGCCCCACATTAAATGGTCTCAGATTTTTGTTAAGATATCAGGTGAGGTCAACACTGTAAGTGATGAGACCAGAAGGCAAGAAGGACTGTGACTTAAAGGGAAAGAACTATTACACTACTGTGGGGAGTGCAGGAAAGCCCAGGTTGAAGTGGGTGTCAGGAATTTCAGGTGGCCAGGTGTATCTTGTGCTTTATATTTTTTCTTCAGTGTTCTGTTACCTCAGAGCAGAGGGGGAGGAAGCTAATGATTAGGGTGACTAAGGGTAGAGAGTGTCCAGGTGCATACATATTAGGGGAAATTTGACACGGTCCTTTTGGGAAATTTTGGGCTGTTGGAGTTACACAAAGGAACTTCAGAAAGTTTGTGGAAAAATGGATTTAAAAAATAAAAATAAATTTTATTTCTTAACATAAGCTTCATCTTGTTCAAGATACTTTTAAAAATGATGATACCAGCCGTATAGTCCATCCCTAAAGAACTGAAGGTCTTGGGAATTGAACTGTCAATGCCGCCTTTTTACATTATTAACTAAAGAAAAATGAGTTTTCTTTACAGACTTTTTCTAGATCAGGAAACAAAAGTCACAGGGAGCCAAATCAGTACTGTACGGTGGATGCCTAAGGATTTCCCATCAAAATGCTCTCAAAATTGGCCTTGTTTGATGAGAGCAATGAGCAGGAACATTGTAGTGGTGGAGGACTCTTTGGTGAAGCTTTCCTGGGCGTTTGTCTGCCGAAGCTTTGGCTTTCTCAAAACACGCTCACAATAAGCAGATGTTATTGTTCTTTGGCCCTCCAGAAACGTAAAAAGCAAAATACCTTGAACATCCCAAAAAACTGAGGCAGTTGGAACACGAGGTTAGGAGTTCAAGACCAGCCTGACCAAGATGGTGAAACCCCATCTCTGCTAAAAATACAAAAATTAGCCAGGTGTGGTGGCAGGTGCCTGTAATCCCAGCTACTCAGGAGGCTGCTGCAGAGAATTGCTTGAACCCAGGAGGTGGAGGTTGCAGTAAGCTGAAATCACATCACTCCATTCCTATCTGGGTAACAGAGCAAGACTGTCTCAAAAAAAAAAACCTGTTGCTGTGACCTTTGCTCTGGCCTGGCCCACTTCTGCCTCTTCATAGCCATTGCTTTGCTTGTGCCTTCTCTTCAGGAGCACACTGGTAAAGTCATGTTTTATCTCCTGTTACAGTTCTTCAAAGAAATGCTTCAGGGTCTTGATTCCACATGTTTAAGATTCCCATTGAAAGCTTTGCTCTTGTCTGCAGCTGATATGGGCACAACCGTTTTGGCACCCGTCAAGTAGAAAGTTTGCTCAACTTCAATTTGTCAGAATAGTGTAAGCTGAACTGGTTGAGATGTTTGTGGGGTTGGCTCTTGTTTCTGCTGTTAATCATTGATCTCTTTCAATTAGGGTATGAACAAGATGAATATTTTTTCTCACTAATTAATAAGTATGGTCTGTAGCTGCAGGCTTCACCTGTAACATCATCGCATTCCTTCTTAAACCAAGTTACCCATTATTTCTCTGGGGGCATTGTTCCCATAAACTTTTATTAAGCATCAGTGATTTTACCATTCTTCCACCAAAGCTTCACCATAAATTCGGTGTTTGTCCTTGATTCAGTTTTAGCAGAATTTATAAATTCTTTAGCAGGATTTCTGCCAAGAATTTATAAATTCTGCTAAAATTAGTTGCTCTTTGGGGCTCTTTTCAAATTGATGTCTTGTCCTGCTTAATGCCTCAAGCTAGATCCTTTTCAGACCTGTTAAAACAAGTTAAGGTGAGTTTATTTTGGTGCAAACAGTTTTTGAGATCTGTGCGTAGTTTTCTTCATGGTATGCATTTTCCATGAACTTTTTGAAGTCCTCTTAGAATAGTATTATAGTTCAGGAAAGTCTGGTTTATATCACTGCAGCATCTTTTCTTCTTTTGTGAACTTTTGACTTCTCACACCATGTCGCCGTTGCCTTTTGTACTTTAATTATAGTCATTGATGTGATAAAGTTAGGTTGTTCTGAATTATTATTTCAAAGCATTTTTCCATACTGACAACTAGACCACTCCCAGATATGCCCTGCATTTTGGTGTAAATAATGGAACAAATAATTTTTTTAAATTTTCATAATCATTTAGTTATCCATATTTTTGGCTTATCTGTAGTGAATGGGATAATGGGTAAATGTGATACTCTAGGTGGAGTATAATTAAATGTCTTAAAAAGTCCCTCAAACAGTAGCTGGTTTTTAGGTTGTTTTTATTTTGTCATCAGGTAAAGAGAGATGAATCTGGAGCAATACATGTTACTAAGCAAAAGCATCTTCACCTATACTATGACCTCATCAACTTTACTGTGAGTATTATTCAAATTAAATATCCCCATTTATTTCATGTAATTGTTCTGAATCTGTGGTATATTAAAGCCACCAGGATTTCTGCCAAGAATTATTACCTTTAAGATCATATGAAATATGGACAGCCAGGTATCTTGGCTCGTGCCTGTAGTCCCAGCTACTTGGGAGGCTGAGGTGGGATAGCTTAAGCCCAGGAGTTCAAGGCTGTAGTGCTCAATGATCGCTAGCCAGTGTACTCCAGCCTGGGCAATATAGTGAGACCCTGTCTCTTAAAAAAAAAAAAGTGTGTGTGTGTGTGTGTGTGTGTGTGTGTGTGTGTGTATAGACACAGAGAGAGAGAGAAGTGAAGTCCCAGTTATACTGAATAAAGTATGAATGTGGTGTGATGCCACTAATTATTGCCTTTTAGCCTGTGTCCTGCTGAACACAGGCAGGATTAGAAATTTCATGTCTGGTTTAGCTTAAAGGGGAGTTTGGCTTCAAAAGTATTTAGTTGAGTTTTTTGAGGATCATTGCCCTGCTTTCCCTGTAAAACATTTTTTGTATTTTTGAGCTTGTCTTAATTTCTTGTGGCTAAAAACTTTGCAGAGTTCACTTTCTACCATGCCTCCCAATCCTGAGTAACTTCTTGATTTAAAAAGAGAGATTTCTTTTTGTATGAAATTTTATTTTTTCTCTCTCAAACAGCTTGTTAATTTTGAGAACAGGGTAATTATAATACTTCTGTGTTCCCATCATTAGTACATTTTAGCACATCAGTGTCTGGGGTCCAGTAAAACATTCTGCAGATGCATGAATATAGGCATAAATAGAAGTCATTTTTCTAAAAAGAACACTGAAGAACAGTTTTTTTCCCCAACTTGAAAATGTGTAATTTTTGCAGGGTATTGATGAAATAGATCTTTTCTTTACATGATTTCTTAATTGTACATTACATTTTTAACTCACAATTGTTTAGAAATAATTCATACACATTTTATGAAAGAATTTTTTTGAGACTCTTAGAAGACATCGTTGTCATCAGCAGAGCTGTCTTGTTGAATCATGTCGCACAGCTTTTCAGAGTTTATCATCTTCGCTTCTGTTTCAGGTGTTTGAGATACAGTACTTTAAAAACCTGCACAAGTTTGTCACTGGAAAATTTTTTCCCCAGCCATAAGTAACCATTCTAACAATAGGACAGTTGGTGTTTTAGTGATCCTGTGTCATATCCATAGTGTGACCATGAACTGCGTTGTTTTGTAAATTACCCTCAGAAGGTTTATTACAGCAATGTCAACACTTTGAGCTCTGTGGGTCTAATCTCAGGAACAATTACTAGCCTTGCTGACGTTCATTTTTTTCTGCCATTCTCTTGTTTTCATAACCAGGTGACCTTTGGAAGTACCTAAGAACTAGCACTGATTAAAGTTGTATAAGGCTAAATAATGTGATTTTTCCTAGAAAATACTTTGTTTTTCTAAATAAAATAATTTAGAGAGCACCTTGTAAGAGCTTTCTGTAAAAGATTTGCATATCAAACTCCCTGTTTTCTGAAAGAGATTTTTTAGAGGAGGAGAGGGGAACAAACTCTTCCCTTAGAGTGGCTAATATGCAGTAATAGAGCATATTTTTAGCATATGTTAGAAGAAAAGCTATTTTCAACTTGGTTATCTTTAATTGGGCATTATGCAAAGAATATCTGATGACATAGACTAGAACATACAAATATACCAGCATGAATACCAGAGGCATAACGTGCAGAGGAAGCACTTAGCTCTGGCTACTTCTGGATCCTAATTGAACAGATCTGAAGATTTATTTCTTGGGAAAGGATTAGAATTGCCAAAAAAAATTTTTGAAAATAAGTAATCTGATTTTATATATAACCCAAGAAATTTGTTAAAATGGCATCCTTCAGAAGATTTTTTAAGTTATTATTGTTAGTACTTTTAAAATTATAATAGTACTTATTAAAGAACATTTGAGAGACACAGAGAAATAGAACAAAGAACTCTCATAATTTTAAGAGGGATTTTGAAGGAAGTGGATTTTTAAAATAGCTTTCTTTCATTTTAGTATATTTCAAAATATGTATTCCTTCAGTGCTAACAATTGTCCTTTGACCTGCTAAGTTTATGAGCTTTACTTCGTTCTTTAGTTTCAGCAATATCATAACAACTAGAAATGCTGAGTTTGTCATGATGCCGAAGCCGGGCGCAGTGGCCTCACGCGGTGGCCTGTAATCCCAGCACTTTGGGAGGCCGAGGCGGGTGGATCACGAGGTCAAGAGATCGAGACCATCCTGGTCAACATAGTGAAACCCCGTCTCTATTAAAAATACAAAAAATTAGCTGGGCATGATGGCTCATGCCTGTAATCCCAGCTACTCAGGAGGCTGAGGCAGGAGAATTGCCTGAACCCAGGAGGCTGAGGTTGCGGTGAGCTGAGATCGCGCCATTGCACTCCAGCCTGGGTAACAAGAGCGAAACTCCGTCTCAACAAAAAAAAAAAAACTTTTTAAAAAAACTATATGCTCTAATCTACCTACAGCTTTAGTCATCTTTTACACTATGAAAGTGTCATTGTTAGCACTTTCAAAAGTCAGTAGTGTATTCTACCTCCTTACTGTTCCCTGGGCTGTCACTGAGGAGTTCTTGCATTGATTGTGTTGCCATGTAAATTGTTAAATGGATAAAGTCCTCAGTGTAGTTTAATTGAGCAGCCAAGCTTTCTTCTTGACCCAAATGATGATGCGGGTGTGGTCTTACTTTTGTTTTGCTGTGTGCTTGAATTACAGTGGATAAATTCCCGCACAGTTGTGCTCTTAGACAGTGTAGAGAAGTTGCATGTGATTGATCGGCAAACACAAGAGGAGCTGGAGACGGTGGAGATCTCAGAAGTTCAGCTGGTCTACAACAGTAGCCATTTCAAATCACTGGCCACTGGAGGAAATGTTAGCCAGGCACTGGTAAGGATAATCAGTTGTCTTGGCATTGCATTGATAAACTTGGTATTTTGTTTTAGTTGTTTTAGAAATAGGAACTCTGGGGTGTTATCTTTTTTCTCTCTTGAAGTGTTTCTTTAAAAGCCACTAGGTTCAAGTGGGTGTGGATGTGCTTATAAGTGTGTAGGAACACAAGCTAAAACAATAAATTGTGTTCCCTTCTGTTCGGAAATGAGACTTATTTTACTTAATACCAACGTATTTTAATTTTTATACTAAAATAATGAAGTATAATGGAAAATTTTTGAGAAATTGTAAAATCAAAATATTTTCGAAAGCTTAATCTGGCAGTGATAAGCCTGATAGATTTAAGGGATAAATAACTACAGATAGGTAGTTAAAGCCTTATGAGACTTTGAAAATATTTGAGTGATAACGATAAAGGCTTGAACAGGTATGGTAGCTGTGGGTATTAAAAAGCAAAGATGGCTTTAAGAGAAAGAAGATATTTTAGAAATAGGTGCTAGATGAAATGTAGGAGGCTAGAGAGAAGGAAGACACAACAAAGCTATGGTCTTAGCATTAATTTTGTATCATTAAGCGACTACAGTAATGGCTTTAAGCAATTTCCGCAGATAGTTTCTAGTTCAGTCACCTTGAATTGTGATCTCACGTTCCTAAACCATGAATCTTTAAGTAGGAAATTTAGACCATTGTGAGACTTCCTTGGATACTTTTTTGAAAAAAAAAAATAGTAATGATGGTCATATTTAATGAGTGACTACAGCATGATGTGTAGGCTTTGCTCAAATCTTCCTCATATTATAACTTCAGAGCATAAAATATATATGAAAGGGTCTTCCAGCCTTCCACTCCTCCCACTTTAAAAACCAAGGAAAGTCAGAGTAAGAAATGATAGTGCGATATAATTCACGAAGTGATGATGATAACTGCTGTTCCACACTGTTCTTTTCTTGTGTTTGAATGGTGTTAAGAATACCACTGGACTTTGAACTTGTACTTTTAGCCAAGATAGAGTTGTCGGGAATTCGATTTACTCTCCTGCTTGAAATAACCGAAGGAGGAGGAAGAGGAGGAGGGGGAGGAGAAGAAGAAGAAAAAAACAGCAGTTCTCAAGACACTGAACATCTTGATGACGGACAGCAATCTCTCAGAAAGTGGGGAACAAATGATGTGAACTCTATGATTGTCCTAGTTTCCAGCTTTGAGAGAGCGTCTGGGCTGTGGAAGAACCCAATTGGAGTATGGAAGACTCTATGAGTTGGGAAGACAGAGTCTAGATTGCAGGAAGACAAAATTGAGTTGAGTTTGTAGGACAGAGTACTGGAGAAAACAGCATTACGAAGGAGTCCCCCTTGAGTGTTCCTCAGACTACTAATCAGCAAATGCATATGGGGAAGCTGCCAAGGACCAGGAAAGAGCCATTTGAAAGGTTTAGTGGGAACTGTATCTGGTGCTCACACAGGGCTGAAAACAGTGCTTGTTACACCAGTCAGAATGGAAAGCTTCATGATTCACAGGGCATCGGGTAGAATACTCAGAGGCATCTTGCCTCACAAGGACTAGAATAAATGCCACACTGGTCCCAACCGACACATCTTAAAAGTAAGACCAGAAAGGATCAAACCATTTCCAAATCACTTACCTCCTAGAACAAAGCACAAGAATATTAGTAGGAATACAGAAAGATCCAGAAACCAGCAAGGTAAAATTCACAATGTCTGCCACCCAATTAGAGATTACTAGGTATACAAAGAAGAAAAACAACCTATGGCCGAGCGCAGTGGCTCTTGCTTGTAATCCCAGCACTTTGGGAGGCCAAAGTGGGTGGATTGTTGAAGTCAGGAGTTTGCGACTAGCCTGACCAACATAGCGAAACCCTGTCTTTACTAAAAATCCAAACAAATAAAAAATTAGCTGGGCATGGTGGTGGGCACCTGTAATCCCAGCTACTTGGGAGGCTGAGGCAGGAGGATCGCTTGAACCTGGGAGGCGGAGGTTGTAGTGAGCTGAGATTGCGCCACTGCACTCCAGCCTGGGTGACAAAGAGAGGCACTGTCTCAAAAAAAAAGTTAAACATTGAATTACCAATCTGACCCAGAAGGCCTACTCCTAGGTATGTTCCCCAAAGAGTTGAAAACATGCTAACATAAAAACTTGTATATAAACATACATCGCAGTATTGTTCTTAATAGCCAAAGAGTGAAAACAGTCTAAATATTCACCAACTGGTAAATGGATGTACGAAATGTGGCATAGCCATTTAATAGGATACTCTTCCACGGTAAAAAGTTGGCTGCAACATGGATTAACCTCAGAAATACTAAGTGAAAGAAGAAAGAAAGATCTTTGAAGAATGATGATAATGTTCTCAAAATGGATTTTGATAATGGCCAAACAACTATAAGTTTACTAAAAAAATCACGGAATTGTGTGTCTAATGAGTGAATTTTATGGTGTAAGTTATAGCTCAGTACTGTTGTTTAACAAAAGCAATCGACTATTTAAAACAAAAATAATGTGTTGTGAAGTTTATGATAGATAGAAGTAATACATATAACAAAAATAGTACATAGTGCCAGCATGTAGGAGATGAAAGTACATTATTGTAAGGTTCTTACTGTGTGTGTCAAATATTATTTAAATGTTGACTGAGATAAGTTGCACATTGTAAACTATAATCACTAAAAAAGAGGTTTAACTAGTAAGTCGTTAATAGTGACAAAATGAAATGTTAAAAAGTATTAAATACAAAGAAATATTTTTAAAAAGATACAGTGGCTCATGTCTGTAATCTCAGCACTTTGGAAGGCCAAGGAAGGAGAACTGCTTGAGCCTAGGAGTTCAAGGTTACAGTGAGCTGTAATCACACCAGTACTATAGCCTGGGTGACAGAGTGAGACTCTGTCTCTTAAAAAAAAAAAAGATTGTACTACTAAGAAACAATTAGTAAGATAATAAATCTAAACCCAACCATATCAATGATTCTAAACATTTCAAGTAAAAGGTAGAGATTATTAGATTAGAAAAAATAAGAAACTATCTACAAAAAACTCTACATTAAACCTACATTTTGTCTACCCAAAAACGTGTAAGTTAAAAGGTTGGAAAAAGATAGATCACGCAAACACTAATCATGACAGTGTCTATATTAATTCTAGTCTAAGTGGATTTCAGATTAAGGAATATTGTCAGAGATAAAGAGAAATTTCAAAAGAATAAACAGGTTAATTAATCAAGAAGAGAAAGCAATCTTAAAAATTTAAGCACCCAATAACAGGACTATAATGCAGGTGAAGCAAAACCTGGTGGAACTGAAAAGAGAAACAGAAAAATCCACAGCTATAGTTCGAAATTTACTAACATGTCTCTCAGTAATTAATACATTAAGTACATGGAAAATCATTAAGGGTATAGAAGACTTGAAAAAAGACAATTGACCAACTGGACCTAATTGACATATATGGAATATTCCACTCAATAAAAGCAAATTGGCAGTTTTTTTCAATTGCACATGAAGCTATCATCAGTATTAAGTACATGTAATCCCACTTCACATGCTCTAGGATGAAACCAAAGTTTAACAAATTGGAAAATATCGGAATTATCAGGATATATCTGGAGAAAACTCAAGTATTTGGAAGTTAAACAATGTTTTAAAATAATCCATGGACAAAGAATAAATGACAAAGAAAAATAGAAACTATTTTGAGCTGAATGAAAATGAAATACAGAATATCAAAATCGGTGGCCTACACTTAAATCATTTTTGAGGGTAATTTATAGTATTAAATACTTCTATTAGAAAAGGAGAAGTATTTATGAAATCAATTATTTAAGCATCTCTCTTAATTAAACAGAAAAAAGAAAAAGACTGAAGGAAGAAATATTAATAATAAAGATGAGCACAAATCAATTAAGTAGAAAATGGACAAACAACAGAGAAACATTAAAGAAACCAAAAGCTGGTTCTTTGAGAGATGGATAACATTACACTGATAAACCTCATGCAAAACTTACCAAGAAAAAAAGAACATACAATTGCCAATATCAGGAATGAGAGAGTTGACATTACTATACAGTGTGCAGATATAAGAGTGTAATATGAATAATTTTATGCCTATAAGTTCAACAGCTTTAGATGAAATAGAAAAAAATCCTTAAAATGCACAAATTACCAAAGCTGACTCCAAAAGAAATAGAAAATCTAAGTGGTCATATATCTGTTAAATAATTTTGTAATTAAAAATCTTTCTACAAAGAGACTCCAGGCCCATATTGCTTCATTGGTGAAGTATTCCAAAGATTTAAGGAAAGAATAGTGCAAATTCTACACAAAAACATCTTTTTCAAAATAAGAGAAGGGAGCTTAATTCATTTTATGAGCCTAGCATAACTGATAATAAAACCAAAGATACTGTAATAAAGAACAGTATAGACCAATATTCTCATGAGCACAGATACAGAAATCCTTAATAAAATATAAAACGAGTAATAAATCATGATCAAATGGTGTTTATCCAAAGCATGCAAGGCTAGTTTAACATTTGAAAATTGACCAGGTGTGGTGACTCACACCTGTAGCCCCAGAGGCCAGGAATTTGATGCCAGCCTGGGCAACATGGCGAAACCTTGTCTCTGCGAAAAATACAAAAATTAGCCAGGCGTGGTGGCACGTGCTTATAGTCCCAGCTACTCAGGAGACTGAGGCTGGAAGATCGCTTGAGTCTGGAGGCAGAGATTGCAGTAAGCCAAGATGGTGCCACTGCACTCCAGCCTGCATGACAGAGTTAGACTCTGTTAAAAAAATAAATAAATAAAATAAAAATTGAAAATCAGTGTTATTTACCGTGTTAATAGATTGAAGAATAAAACCCTTAATTTATCTCAGTAGATGCAGAAAAAACATTTGACACAATTCAGTATCCATTCCTGATAAAAAACCCTTAGCAGACTAGGGATTGAAGGACACTTTTTAACCTGATAATAAAGGGCATCTACTAAAGGCCTGTATGTAGCTAACATCCTTAAAGTAACACTGCCACCAAAGAAAACCAAAAGCCCTGAATCTGATGACGTCTCCTTTTGAGAGGATACGGAAGACATGCTATGCAGTTTCCTGGGGATACAGTCAGCAAAATCCAAGTAGTGGGAAACTGCAGAATAAGTGTTTCAGCTTTCTTCAACAAATGAACTTCAAGAGAAATAAAGGATTGAGAGAGATGGAAGCAAAACCTATAGATTAGAGAAAACTTAAGAGATAAGGTCCAATAGTGAACCTCTTTTAGATCTTGATTCAGACAAGTGAAATGTTTAAGAGCAAAACAACAAACCTAACAGCATTTGATATTTATGAGAATTTAAAATCCAAACACTGATTGGATATTTAATATTGAGGAATGATTATTGATTTTTTAAAGTATGTTAATGGAATTGTGATTATGTTTAAAAGGACTGGACTCTTTTTAAAAATGTATACTGAATTTTTAATAAGTGAAGTACTCAAAATTTGGGATTCGCTTCAAAATTATCCTGTGTCCTAGGGAAGTGGTGGAAATTACAGATGAGACAAAATTGGTGACGAGTTGGTCATTGATGCTACTGGTCCATAGATACATTCAGGGATGACTCAATTGTTCTTTCTACTTCTGTATAGATTTAAAAATTCCCACGATAAAATGCTAAGAAAAGTTACAGCCATCAGTTATTGGCCACATATATTTTGGGAGATTTTTAATTATTAGCATATTTAAGCATTAGAGAAACTTTGCAAGGTTTTTCAAAGATGAGAAGACTGTCAAAGGTTTGAAAGTTGTTTCATACTATACAAATGTATGTAAGTGGCAGAGCCAAGGTTTGCAACCCAGATTATCAGCGAGTTTCTCTTCTATTTTGCTGCTTGCTGACTCCCATATTCCTTGCTGCTTTGTCATCTGCTCTCTTGTGTTTTATGTTGATACTTATTTCAGAGAACTTGGAAGCGCCATATTTTCAATCAGCCCCTTTCTTTGCCAAAAGCAGTGACAATTTGTCATCCAACACGGGCAGGATGAAACAGTTTTCCTTTAGATTTGAAAGTTGGCATTCTCCCTCCCTTTTCCACATTATTCTGAAAATTAAAAGGCTATATACATAAGCAGAGAATTTGTTTCTTTCTGTCACTTCTGCTGTCAAACTGATGATTGACATCAGTTTCAACTCCCACTCACTTACAGGATGAAACTATGTTGACCTAAAATGTTGTCTCTACAGTTGACAGTCTTTAAAACTTAATAAGACTTCTGGTGCATGTAATTTTTACCTTTTTTGTATGTTTTTTTTTTTTTCAGGCTTTGGTTGGAGAGAAGGCTTGTTATCAATCCATCAGTAGCTATGGTGGTCAGATCTTTTATTTGGGGACAAAAGTAAGCTCTTTCACTCTGTGGGTTGGTATTTGTATGTATCAGGATAGCTGAGGCTGCAGGAGATTCCTGGTAAAGAGGGCAGTGTATTGCAAAGTGAATATTGATCAGCACTTATCCAAAATGCTTCGTGGTCAGGTAGTCATGCTTTTGAGTTAATTAATTTTTTTCCCTCCACTTTTAGACATATTCTTTACTTTTGTTTACATGTTGGCTACTAGATGCTGTTTATTTTCTTGATTCAGAGATGTGCTTTTATAAGCTTTCTTCACATTTCTGATTTCATGACCAGGCAGCTGCCTAATCATGGATATTTGTCATGTAATTAAGGTGGCCGTTAGCTTAGGTCAGTCTAAGATGCTGATTAAAATGCATTGAGATATTTGACTTAGAATAGCATTATTGGAATAGGAACTTTTAGTACCTCAATTTATCTCAATTTGTTCCTGTGCTTTAAAAAAATATATGGAGAAACATTCCTTCATTATTAAAATTTAACCAAAATATTGCCAAGTCAGTGGAGGGAAATGAGTTTGGGCTTTCCTTGCTCCTTGTCCATGGATTAACCCCTTGGACTGTAGATCTTTAAATATTTGACTTACTCTTTAATGTGGGTTCTAGGCCAGGTGTGTTGGCTCACGCCTGTAATCCCAGCACTTTGGGAGGCCACCGTGGGCAGATCACGTGAGGCCAGGAGTTCAAAACCAGCCTGGCCAACATGGCAAAATCCTGTCTCTAGTAAAAATACAAAAATTAGCCAGTAGTGTTAGCAGGTGCCTAAATCCCAGCCACTTGGGAAGCTGAGGAACGTGAATTGTTTGAGCCTCGGAAGCAGAGGTTGCAGTGAGCCAAGATTGTGCTGCTGCACTCCAGCCTGGGCAACAGAACCAGGACTGCCTTAAAAAGAAAAAAGGGTTCTTGAAGACCCATTAGTAAATTCTAAGATACACTTCTAATTGTAGTATGAAATGTTTTTACTGAAAAAGATGTCAAATCAGATGTGGGACTAGGACAAATGTCTCTCCCAAATAAGTCTGTTAAAGGTGATCATCTTAATTTCCATGTCTTTACTTTCCAGTCTGTTTATGTGATGATGCTGAGGAGCTGGAGAGAGGTGAGTTTAAAGTCATTTCACGTGTTAGAGCTACTGAATTGGTAGCTTCTTAGCATTTCTGTTTTGACTTTTCAGAAGAATATTATTTGGTTCTTAATTTCAGAAGTGTACATGAAAACCATGATAGCTATTAGGTACTTGATTTGCTAGAACTGACTGTGTAAGTTAGAATTAGGTTGGCTACGTATATTAGAAAATTCAAAATAAGAGTGGCTTAAACAAGATTTCTGTCTCACGTAAAAGCAGCCTGGAGCTAGGCAGTCCGCAGCTATTGTAGGAGTTCCCTAAGCTGGAGCATGTGATCCTGCTCTGCCATCTTTGTCTTTGAATTCTGGTCTCAGGGTCATTTTATGATTCATACAGTTGCTAGAGCTCCAGCTGTTACCACATTTCAGGAAGGAGGAAAGAGAAATAAAGGCTGTCTCCTGCCTCGTAAGGTGACATCCCAGAAATACCAGATAGCAGTTCACTTGTCTTTAGCCAGAGGTTAGTCACATCGTTCCCAGTGGCTACAAGGTGGTGCTAGAAATGTCCTTCAGCTGATGGATTGCTGTCTCCAATAAACTAGGGGTTTGTTATTACCAAGGAGGAGGAAATGAATGCTGTGGTAAACAACGAGCCATTTCTGCTACAATGACATTCCAGCTATTTCCCCTTTTCATATTTAGGCCCTGTGGCTGTCTGTACTAGCCTATGCAGTCATTATACCATCTAGTGCTTTAAGATATTTTTCTTTGAAATAAGATATTCGCATAACTATTAAAATAATTTTAGCCTCTAAGCAGCAACTTCTGAAACGATTTTAGATAGTATAGGAATTCTGACTGGTGACTGGTCAGACAAAGGGGTCTGCTTTCTCTCTTTTTTCCATTTTAGAGAGTGGATCATCTCCTGAAACAAGATTGTCTTACAGAAGCCTTGGCCCTTGCATGGTCTTTCCATGAAGGAAAAGCAAAAGCAGTTGTGGGTGAGTAGACAGAACAGCAGCGTGGTAGATGTGGTTCTCCTGGAGTGGGGGGAACGGACAGTACTAAACACTCCTAGAGCGTTTTCAGCTGAGTGCCCAAGTGTTTATAAACAGGATGCTATTAAACCTTACGGACTTGCAGTTAAGAAGGTTAATGACAAATACAGGGTATGGAAATTAAAATGTCACTTTTAAATTATTTCATAAGGGAATTACTATTAGAACAAAAGAGAAGTACATTGGTATGCTCTCTGGTCCTGTGGATTTGAGGTGTTCCTATTATGGCGTATTATCCAACATTTTGATACCTAAGAACTGTTACAATTGTACCTGGTGTTACACATCTAATGAATATGAAACCAGACATAGTTTCACTCCTAAAGATGTGGACTAACTTTTGTTTTTGTTGGATTTTCCTTCTCTGTAGGATTATCAGGGGATGTCAGCAAGCGAAAGGTTATTGTTGCAGACCGGGTAAGTATTTTAATAGGGTCTTTAGTAGAAGATAGTACACATTTGCTTTTGGCATTTGCTAATATCTTTGGGCACGAGTAGGCAAATGGCTGCAATCTAGGAGAGAGTGTATTACACACACACACACACACACACACACACACACACACACTAGGGGTTAGGAGGTCAAGACTAGCATGGGCAACATAGCAAGATCCCATCTTTCCAAAAATAAAAAAAATTAGCTAGGCATGGTGGTGTGCACCTGTAGTTCTAGCTACTTGGAAGGTCGAGGCCAGAGGATCAGTTGAGCCTAGGAGTTCGAGGCTACAGTGGGCTATGATTGTGCCACTGCACTCCAGCTTAAGTGACAGTGAGACCTGTATCTAAAAAAAAAAAAGTCAGATTATAATTCTGTGTCATCTTGAATACTTTTTAAATTCCTTCTTAATCACTTTTTCTGTTTTCCCTTGCTTACTCTTACGAAGATAATAAAGTACCTAGCCAAAAGACAGCAGGAAGGAGGAGGAAGAAAACCTGGGAATCTGAATTATTTCTGAACCAAGTAATAGCCCACAGAAAATTGATGTTTGTCAGTTTTTATGAACTTACAAGTAATTATGAGAAATACTGTACGTGCAAACGTTGGTGTTGCCCAGAACTAGCAGAGAGGGTTAATGTTTTAGTGTTATTATTAATTAGCATCAATACAATTGATGCTCATATTTAATACTGACCTTCTGTTCCTAATCCAGACTAGGCTGAATTAATTGACCATGGAATTCCCTCCCTTTTGTTGTGTAAATGCATTGGTAAAAATTATATTCCAAATTAGTATAAACATTTATAGAAAACATGGATAGAAACTGGTCACTCCTTAGACTCCAGATGATTTGCTCATCTGTGCTCTTTGGGGAAACACCTGCAGCAGAGGATCACTGAAGAACTTGGATGTTTCAGTTCCGGAGCAGTGTGGATACCACTGAGGTCTGCAACATGGACATATTTCTTAAGAAAGATTAGCAAATTAGTACTAGCCCTGAGGCTGAAAGAAACGAGACTAGATTTTAAAGTTGGTAATAAAGCCACTAAAATTTTCAATTATAATTTTAATACAATAACGAATTATAATTCTGTATTATTTAGGAGGGCCACATAAATATTGAAAAGCTTTAGAGATATATTTTAATGTCTATATATTTTAATGTCTATGCCAGGCTGTTTTCCTTACAGATGGTAGAAATCCTATTCCATTATGCAGATCGAGCTCTGAAAAAGTGCCCAGACCAAGGAAAAATCCAAGTGATGGAGCAGCATTTTCAGGTACGTGTTTGCATGTGCTTCCAGTACAGTGCTCTGGAGGAGGTCTAATGTTGCTTTTTTATGTTACTTGAGAATGTGACTTTCATTTTTGGTTAAATATTTTTTAGTATTCAAAACTTTATTTCAGGGCTGGTGGAACATCCTAAATGATACCTTTGGAAGTAATAGGTATAGAGGAGTAAAACGCTGGGGAGTATGACTCAGCACTTAGCTGTTTAGTGCTATGTGGAAGGAAAGGATATACATGTGAAGATCCTTTCCTGTAAATTGACACCTTATGGTGGCCCACATCTTGCTGGTGACTACTATTTACGTTAACTAGGTTATTTAGTACTTCCAAGGTTTAAATTTAGTTCTCCTAGGAGCACCTGTGACTTAAGAATAATAGATCAATTAATATATATATGTGCATATATAGAAGATCTATAAAATATGCTAATGAAAGACCTTGAGTTTATCTTGGAACTTAATGAAAATGGAAGCAGGAAATACTTTACAGATTCGTATGGTATTTATTATGCAGCCTTTACTTTTTGCAGTGCTCTCCAGTTATACGTGTTACGCATCTCTGTTCCCCGTTCCTACTGCTCCCGTCCCTCTCCCTGCCTCCTCTTTTAACAAACATTTGAGTGTCCAATACAGGGGTCAGCAGACTTTTTCTAAAAAGACTCAGATGGCAGATTTTAGGCTTTGCAGGCTACAGGAGTCTCTGTCACATCCTTTTCTTCTTTTTGATGTTTTTTTTTAAACAACCCCTTAAAATTGTAAAGTCCATTCTTAGCTGTGAACAATACAGAAGCAGGCTTTGGGCAGGATTTGGCTAACATGTGCCTCCTGTGGTCTGATATGTACTTGGCACTGGGCAATAGTGAGTAAAATTTACATGGTCTTTACTATCTTAAAGTTTGTAGTCTAGTCAGGATAATGTTTTTCTGTTTGTTTGTTTACATTAATGGAAATATTTAGAAGAAATCTAGGGATTTGGAAGTTCTGAAGAGCAGGCACAGGTCCTATCTTTTCATACGCTGTTTGCTGCTTGTAACGTTGGAAGACAAGAATAGATATGGCAGTTAAGAGTTGACTGGTATTGGCTTCCTGAGCTGTACTGTTTAATGCCACACTAGTGAGCTTCTGGTAGTAACTGATACTACTCTGTTTGGCTGGATTCTTATTAAATTTATCAGTAGAGGAGAAAAATATGCCTAGATAAAATTATAAAAATAAATAACTTAGGAAGAAGACATATGGTGGAAAGCATTTGGAAACCAAATTGTTTGGAAACAATACGTCATGTATAAATACTTGTGTATACCATGCAGTATAGATAGCAAACTTAATGTTGTAACAAGAATATACCTATCACCAAGAGGTTGTAGGAACTCTGGCCATCGGAAGGTACACTTTGTTGAAAAAGATTATCTAGTAGAAAAAGCTAGGAGGAGTGAAGGGAACGAGTGTGTGCCTGTGTGTGGAGAATATAGAAACCACCGTATTGGGGAAAAACGTGGTAGAGAGCTTCTTTCTAAAAGCTGAAAGGAACGAAGGTGATGTTCTGATGGAGAAATAGGGAAGAATCTCAGGTGACGAGAACTGTAGATGGTGGTTCTGATGCAGATTGCAGAACATGCAGAGAAACGACGTTAGTAGTCACGTGCTCTGTAGCCATCTAGCTACCTGTTAGAGGTTTCATTCTGTTGGTAAGCGTATCTGATAACATGTTTGATATATCAGTGATTTAGTCTCAGAGGAGCTAAAGGAAACACTGGAGGGAAGTATTACTCTGGATTCAATTTTTACTAATGGTTGGGGAAGTAGAAGAGATAGACCCTTGAGAGAAAAATTATACTTTATTTTAACAATCATAATAATGAAAAATATACAGAGTATGACTTCTGTACTTTATATATATATATATATATATTTAGACGCAGTTTTGCTCTTGTTACCCAGGCTGGAATGCAATGGCATGATCTTGGCTCACTGCAACTTCTGCCTCCTGGGTTCATGTTATTCTCCTCCTCAGCCTCCCAATAGCTGGGATTACAGGTGCATACCACCACACCCAGCAAATTTTTTGTTTTGTTTTGTTTTGAGACGTAGTTTTGCTCTTGTTACCCAGGCTGGAGTGTAATGGCTCGATCTCGGCTCACCGCAACCTCGGCCTCCTGGGTTCAGGCAATTCTCCTGCCTCAGCCTTCTGAGTAGCTGGGATTACAGGCACGCGCCACCATGCCCAGCTAATTTTTTTGTATTTTTATAGGGACCAGATTTCACTATGTTGGCCAGACTGGTCTCTAACTTCTGACCTTGTGATCTACCCGCCTCGGCCTCCCAAAGTGCTGGGATTACAGGCGTGAGCCACCGTGACCGGCCCAGGACTCTCACACCCAAATGTTTATGTTAATTTGGATGAAGATTTAACAACTGGCCTGTCAAATCTAGGTAGCGCCAAGAATCAAGGTTCAAAGTGATCTTGACAAGAAAGTGCAATCAGAATCATCTTGAGATGAAATTTAATGAAGATTAACATCAAGACTTAGATTCATTAGATTCATATTATCAAATTATGTGAGTACTGGATTGGGAAGATCTAGCTGGACGGGATTTTCGTTGACCACAAACTTGCTATGAGCCAATAGTGTTAAGGCCCGGATAAAGGAAAGTGCTCATACTACTCGGCCTGTCTGAAATAAAACCACTAAGGCATTTTGTGGGCTGCTGATAAACTCAGCCACATCCCACAACTGAGATGGTGGAAGGTTTTAGAAACAACAGTTAAAAAAAATAGAGTTGTTTAATCTGAGGAGAAAGCAAGTGGAGACATGCCTGCCTAGAGGTGGTGGCGGGCTGTCCTGTGGGATTAGCCATATTGCTGCAGAGGGAAGGCCTAGCATATAGGTGAGTAGAAATTGGGAGAAGATGCGTTTCAGTTTAAAATGACCTACTCATGATGTACCAGTAGGTCATTTTAAACATTTTAAATTTAAGATAATAAGATGCATCTCTTTATTGAATTGATTTCACCTTAGGTTCTGGGATCCATGTGCAGGTCATGCAGGGTTGTTGCAGGGGTGCGTACAAGAGCTCCTGAAAGAAACACTGAACAGAAAGGAACCAGTACCAGCCGCTGCAAAAGCACAGCAAATAGGATGCACCTCTTACTGTGGAATACATTCAAACAAAGGCAGGGTGACCAACTGATAGAAGTGTTTCTAAAATACTTTTTTTACTCAGTGGGCGGAACTCAGATTCTCAAGTAGCTTTTATGGGAGACATAAGTAACCTCCAGTAGAGACTCCAGTTAGCTGAAATTCCTGCTAAGACGGATTTCTGTCACAGTCGGAATACTGAGAATTTGTTTTACCAGCAGGTGGCGCCTCCTGCCTGCTGCCTCAGTTTGAATCTTTACCCTTGGTGAGGTGCCTTCACTAGTTTTTTTGCTTTTCTCCGAGGATCAGTCAGTATTTGTCCTGTCTTAGTTATAGAAGGTAACTTTTGGATCTTGTAACGTTTTGAACAGCTTGTGGCTTTTATTTATCTAAGAAAATATTTCGACCTGTATTTATAATTTATTTGTATCAAAACTTACAGCAGGATAAAAAGGAGTTAAAGTGTTTTCTTCTTCATACGTCTTGTGACTTGCCTTTTCTTCTGGCCTTCCTCATATGCATTTATCTATGTTCAAGTATTTCCCATCATAAAACCAAGTCACGCAGCAAACAAATTCCTTTTTTGCTCCACGCTGTCTCTAATATCTTGTGCTTTCTTCTTCACCCACCCTTTATAGAGCCAGAAGTCTCACAAGAATTGCCTCTGGCCAGGGATGATAGCTCACGCCTATAACGCCGAAACGGCAACCAAGAAATGTTAGGATTCTTCACTTTGGGAGGCAGAAGCAGGTGGATCGCTTGAGCTCAGGAGTTTGAGACCGCCTTGGAAACATAGTGAAACCCTGTCTCTACAAAAAAAATTTAAAAATACAAAAATTAGCCAGTAGTGGTTGTGCACAGCTGTAGTCCCAGCTACTCTGGAGGCTGAGGTGGGAGGTTTGCTTGAGTCTGGGAGGTCGAGGCTGCAGTGAGCCAAGATCACACCACTGTACTCCAGCCTAGGTGATAGATAGAGCAAGACCCTGTCTAAAAAAAAAAAGGTTGTCTGCATTTCCTTTCCTCCTTCTCATCCCTTAACCTTTCCACATCTATGGATTCTGTGGACCCTTGTATTTCTCATCTTACTGGTCCTCAGCAGCATCCAACACCTGAAGACTTCCTGAAACAGTGTTCCTTTTTGGCGTCCCTGATATCATGCATTCCAGTTTTTTCCCTACCTCTCTGACTGCTTATTGATTTTCTTTGTTTATTCTTCTTACTTTTCTTTTACTAACTGAGAAATGTTAGGATTCTTCACAATACCCTTCTCTTGTGTTTTTATATCAATGTTTCTCAAGATGCCTGTGTACCATTTATCTCAAAATCATTTGAAGATATTTGTTCAAAATACCTTTTCTTATTTCCCAGGCTCTGGGGTTGGTGACCAGGATTGTAGTCAGCTCTCAAGATGTCTCTTAAGCACAGTAAAGTTTAAGAACCACTGCTGTACATTCTGTTACCTGGGTGATACAGGCACGTGACTAACCAGTGTTCACAACTTAGATTGCTCTTCTGAACTCTGAGATCTCTTTACTGAGTTGCCCAAGTACATTTCTGCTGGGATGTTTTGTAGGTACCTCAGACTCAATGACTGTTTCCTCACAAAGCCTTTTCTGAGGATTCCTGTGTTAGTGAGTGGGTCCACCATGCACCTGAAGCAAACTGAGTGATTCTTGTCTTTTGCTTGTTCCTGTCTTTTCTGCCTCCTGACTGTTTCTCTAATCTGTTTGTTAGTTCTGCCGCTATCCTAGGCTAAGTGCCCATCAACTCCTTCTTGGTATATTACAGAGTTCTCCAAATTGATCTCCTTGTACACATTGTTACTGTACTTCATTCCATTTTCTACACAGC